CACAGGACGTCTCCACAGGGAATGCCCTGCCATCTCCAGTCTCTGTCCGCCTCACGCTCCAAAGGTCGCCCACGCTCTCGGTTTTGGTCTTGCTAACTGCTAGAGGGAACCAACCCCTCACGACCGTGGTGTGAGACCCGTTCTGTCTGGCACTTAGGATACCAGCTCCGAGTCCTCGATATTACTGCAAACATGGGGTGGGCCAGCGGGGTTATTGGGCGGTGGGGACTCCAGCAGGCCCAGGCTTGTGGAGAGGGAGGCCCCATAGTGTCCCTGTGGCCCTGTCGATGCTCACAGGACAGTCAAGTGCAGTCGCTGATTCTCCTTTGAAGTCTCCCAGCACCATCTGCAGGACCATGTGGACCACAGGCTTCCTTGGCAGAGCCTCTGGGCGATACTTCCAAGCTGCGCTAGTGGCGGCAGGAGGCCGGGTTTTAAGAATCCGAACCAAGAAAACACGCGCCGTCTGCCTTCCCACTCATGGCCCCTGCCCAGGAGGCCGCGGCGTCAGTGAGTATTTCTCTGTTGCCTTCTAGCCGGAAGCCAAGTGAAGCCCAGGAGCTGGGCCAACGCCCACGGCAGGCCCAGCGTTGATCAATAACTACTTTGCTTCTGGCCTTGGTTTCCTCAGCCTTTGTCTACCTGGGAAGCCCAGGGCGGAAGGAGGGGGTGTGGACACTCCAGGCCCGTGGCTGGCATCCTCCTGCCCAGTTGATCCTTGCTCTCTAATTAATTTACTTCATCCTGTTGTTGTTACAAAAATCCAGCTGATTTTTCAGAGCTCTAAAGCCACAGCTGCCGTTCGCCCTGGGCCGCGGTGTCTGGTGAAAGGTGCCCATGTGCGCGGCACCCTGGTATTGTGGCTAACTGGAGCCACGAGGTCCTCTCAGGATTTGTCAGTAGGTGCCAGTGTGTGTTCGGGGACACTCAGTCATTCGATGTTTGACCTGTGGCTAGCACAGCCCTCGGCAGAGCCCAGGAACTCGATGGCAACGGTTCTTAAACCGTGGGCCTGGATCCGTTGGCAGGTGGCGAAATCAATTTCCTGGGTTGTGATCAACGTTGCTTTTTTAAATCGAATAGAGTGGAACAGAAGAGGACACAGCAGGAAACGGTGCAGTCTACTTATCCCCACCACCACCACACAGCCTCGGTTTCCAGCATAAACTATGCATCTGGTCTCGGGGTGGGAAGTGGACTTCTCCGAGCCCTGGTCCAAACATCTCAAGGTCCCATCTCCAAATCCATGGCAGGGGTGTGCAGTGGCCTCTCAAGGGGTGGGCAGGGGTATGCAGTGGCCCCTCAAGTGGGTCATAGCCTGTCTCGGTCCAGCTGCAATGGCCATGTTGACAAATGCTAGAGCTTCTTTGTGTGTGTGTGTGTGTGTGTGTGTGTGTGTCCATGTGTGTGCAAGCAGAGAACAATGTTGGATGCTGTTCTTCAGGCTACTTCACTTTGTTTTTTGAAACAGGGTCTCACCATGTAGCTGTGGCTGGCCTTGAACTCACAGAGACCTGCCTGTCTCTGCCTCAGTGCTGGGATTAAAGGTGTGTGCTGCCATGCCCAGTTTATATGCTTTAAAAAAATTAAGACCTAATTATCAAGCTTGCCAAGTAGGGAAGATCAGCCATCCAGCCCCAGGGACCCACTGTCTGCCTCCCCAGTGTGTGTCCTCACGCTTGGCTTGGCTTCATATGTGTGTGTGCACACGTACAGGTGCGCAGTGCATTCACATGGATGTATGGGTGGGTATGCATGCCAGTGCTTGTGATGCGGCGGCAAGAGGAGGACATTGAGTGTCTCTCACGGAACCGGAAGGCTCATTCTCCTAGGCAGGCTGGTCACTAAGCTCCTGGGGTCCACCCGCCTCTGCCCACCAATGCAGCAACTAAAGGTGCATATAGCCATGCCCAGTTTTCTACATGGGTGTTAGGGATTTGAACTCAGGTCCCATGCTTGCAAGGCGAGCAACTTGGGCCTGATCTGTCTCCCCAGGCCAACACTGTGGTTTCTTCAGGGCCACATCTAACAGGAATTGGTAGCCATTCTTAATTTTGGCGTCCCTTTGCCGGGTAGAAAAGAAACAGGAGACCCCGGTGGGCCGAGGATGTGTGTGTCTGCCCGGGTGACCATTCAGGTGGATCCATGGTGCAGCGGGGACCGTGCAGTGACTAACGCCGGGAACAGTGTGGGGCAGCAACTGAGGATGTGGGTGGCTGCTCCGCCTCTGTCCCAGCTCCGGCTTCTGTAACAGACAGACACAGAAGAAACTCAGAACTCATCGGTGCCGGAGGAGGGATTTGGTGAACAGCAGGTGCCATGAAGGGAAGTGATGGGCTCAGCACCATCTGGTTTGATGGTCTGAACACTCGTTACTGTGCCGGTTAGGTTAGGGGCAGGCAGGATCAGGCCAAATTCCAGAGCTACAGCTTGGGACTGTGGGACCCCTGCAGTGTATCGGAAGAGCAGGCTGGGCCCGGCCCACAGCTCTGAGCTCTTTGGGCATGGGGTGCAGAGCTGGGAGGCTCCATCCAGAAACCTCAGTGGTCCCTCAGCCCTTCAGGAGGGACGCAGCTGCCCCTCCCCCACCCTCCCTATCCCCGTGCATTCAACCCTACAGTCTGCGGCCTGAGCTGGGCCTGGCTACCTGAGGGAGGCGCTGTTCCCTCTCTGAGATCCCTCTCTACACCAGGCCTCCCTGTTCGGTCTCCGCTAGGGTTTCATTCCCTGTGTGTGTGTGTGGGGGGGGGGGCTGGAAGCCTGGAACCCACTTTGCATTTCACATTAGGCAAAGCACTAGAAGGGTGTTCTTTGGAGGTCCTGGGATGCAGAGCTTGCCGTGAGGGGTAAGGAGGATGGACAGTGTCGGGCCAGGGCTCTGCCCCACTCGCCGCCCCAGGAAGCTGCATTTCCCTGCGCAGACCTGTTTTTTCTCTCTGCTCTGTGCCCTGTGTGTGGTGGTGGATAGTCCCAAGGTCGCTGAGGGCAGAGTCTGGACCGTGTGCGGTGGACTTGGACTGACTGGGACTGTAGAGGGTAGCCGAGGGCGTGTGCAAAGGAGGGCTGGGGAGGAGACCTGCGGGGCTGGCATTTGGAAGAGAGAGCAGGGTAGGAAGGGAGACTGTGGGCAGTTCTCATGTTTATCTCGTGTTTATCCAGCTAGCCCTGCCTGCATGCACACCTACTGTGCACGAGGCCCTGGAACCTCACAGCCAATGACCAGACAGGTTTAGAGAGGTAAAGGGTATGCCACATCCAGGCTCTGGAGTTCAGACCCTTAGCAACTCAACCCCTCCCCTTGACGGCCGAGTCCTGGGGGTAGGGACCCTAGGGCCTCCGGTAGGAGGTGAGCTTCCAGCCTGCCACTCCTGATGATCTCCTCCTCCTCCAACAGAAGCAGGCTCAGCCTGCCTGCCGCCTTTGCCTTCCGGAGGGCCTAAGCTTCTGCCAGGATTAAGCCTTTCAAAGGGCGCGTGCTCAGGGTCCCAATGTGCGGCCGTCAATACGGCTCTCCAAGCCGCTCAGATCTCCCCAGCCTTATCGAACTTCTTTCCATCCAACGGGTCCCTCCTGAGGACTTGAAATTTCAGGGCAGGGCCAGGTCGGGGCAGTAGGAAAAAAAAAAGTGTCATCTTTCCCCCAGCCCGTGACGTCAGCGCTGCCCAACTGCCTGTGACTGACGTGTCCCGGGGGACCTTGGTGCATCTCGCGAGCAGACGCTGCTGCTCCGCCCGGGCACCCGGGAGGTTCCGAGCTGCCGGAACCGGGCTGCTTAGTAATGAGAGCAGCAGCCAGAGCTCTGACATCAGACACAGATGGAGGCAAGTGGGCGCTGCCTCTGCAAATGAGCAGGAAAAGGCTTGTTAAACAGAAAGGCGGCGTGGGCCAGGCGGCCCCGGAACGGGACTGTCAGCGATCGTGTAAATACTCGCCAGCTCGACCGGGACCCGCACCGTCCTTATTTCAAGGCAATTTAACCAATGGGACTCCACACTCCCAAATCGAGAATGTTATTAAAAAGAACAGAGGCGGCTCTGGCTGCTCGGCGGCTGGTTGGTACCCGAGTCACACTCGAAGCCTGCTCTGGGCTCCTGCTCCTCCCTTGAGAAGTGACTTGGATTCAGGGTTCCCAGGCCACGCCCCCTGGGTTCTGCCAGGGGTGTGTGATCTGGGGAGAGGAGTTGTGTCAGAGGTGAGAATCAGGGGGTCAAGTCTAAGATGAGTTGCTTAAAAACTTGAGAATGGACTACATCCGGTAGTGTGTGCTTACAATTCTAGCATTTGGGAGGCTGAGGCAGGAGGATTGCTATGGGCTGCATAGTGAGTTCCAGGACAAAGTGAGAACCTGTCCCCCAAACAAACAAACAAAACGGACAACGATGCCTATAAAAACTCCAAACAGATGCCCCACCACCATTTCTAACTTTGTCTCTTTTAGTTGAGTCGTCATTTCACGAAGCCCTCGTTGAACTTGGGTTTTCAGTGTAGCCACAGACGACTTTGAGCTTCTTCTCTTCCTGCCTCTGCCTCCTAGTGCTGAGCCGCCATGCCTGGCTTAGGCCCAGACAAAACCCAGAGCTCACACAAACACTCTACCAGCTAAGCCACAGCCTCAGGCCTCTGCCTTCTGGCAAGAACCAGAAGCTGTACCCCCCCACCCCCTCCACCACCCCCCCCACCCCCGTCAGTCAGCACACAGCAGATGTAGGCTGGGCCTGGGAGCTGCCCCGCCCGCCTGCCCGTGGTGACTCTTCCTTGTGGGGACATTCCAGGGACCTGTGGTGGGGCAGTCAGTCCTGCCTCTAGCCAACACAAGCTCCCGAGTCTACTCAAAGTCCCAGAGCCAGGAGCTATTGAGGGACTTGGAAGGCCTGGTCTCCATCCCACCCACCCCATCCTGTGTCCAAGGACCCCAGGGCAGCCTGTGGAGAAGGGCAGGAGCCTAGGGGCAGGTCCTGAGGTGGTGGATTCCCATCCTTTACCTTCCCCTCCCCTTGCAGGTGTTTCAGCGCCGGGAGGATGGCTCTGTGAACTTCTTCCGAGGCTGGGAGGCGTACCGGGAGGGCTTCGGCAAGCTCACAGGGGAGCACTGGCTGGGTAAGCGTCCTCACACTGAGCACATTCCGCGCTGTCTGCCCGTTCCTTGCCTTTCTGTAACCGGGTCCCATCCCAGTCTCAGGGGGGCCGAGTGATGGAGACCATGAGAACAGAGTCAGCCTCAGAGCATTGTTCAAGTGGGCCCCGTGGACAGGGGCTGTTAAATGTGACGGGGAAAGCTGGGTGGAGGGGCCCTAGCACCCAGGAGGCAGGAGAACCCCAGCCACGCTGCATAGTATAAGGCCAGACTGAGCTCTGCGGTTCAAGATCAGCAAGAAAAGTGAAAACAAAAGCTACACATGATAGTTCATGCTCCCAACTCCAGCACTAGAGAGGCCGAGGCAGGGGGGTTGCATAGGGTTTCCAGTCTAGACGGTGATACATATTAAGACCCTAACTCAAAAACAATAGTGATGATAAACCAAAAATGCCGGGGAGATCAGTCAACAGACAGAGGCGCTTGCCCCCAAGCCTGGTGCCTGAAGCTCAGTCCCCAGGACACACCCGTGGAAGAGAACTGGTCCCCACAAGCTGTCATCTGATCTCCAAGTGCATGCCAAGACACAAACCGAGCGAATGGAATGGGCAATGGAGAGACAGGGGCGGTGGCGGACGCCGAGGGTCCCCAGTCCCCTGCACACCAGGTGGGGAGGGGCTGTTCCGGTGACTCTAGGTCAGAAGCAGGAAGCCTTGCCCTGGCTGGTGACTGTCTGTCTAGGAGTCCCCTCCTGGCCTGGGTCACTCCAGCCATGGCGGGCTCAGGGGCTCCATCTCAGGCATCAGGAGGACTGGGCATAACCGAAGCACTGCCCTGCCCTCAGGGTCAGCAGTGAGTTTCCAGTCCACTCACTTGGCACTTTCATCTTCTCAGTCTCCTGAGAGGCTGAGACCCTGGCGGGGGGTGAGGGGGTGGGGGGGTTGGGGGGTGGGGTGGGGGGTGGGGGGAGTCCCGGGTGCCGAGAGCTGTGGGAGGCAGGCCCAGGGCAGAGGAAGATGGGCGCTGTAGTCGGCAGCCTGCTGTCCCAGGGCATCAGTTTAGTTCATGCTCCTTGACCAGGGGACTTTCCATGAGGAGAGGCCACACATGGTTTGGACCATGGTCAGAGTTTACTGAGCGCTCACGCCGCCCATCCGTCCCTGGGGCCTCACACCAGCTGGGAGTGTGGTCCTGTCCCCATCCCCCCCTCTACAGGTGATAAACCCAGGCTCAAGAGACTGGGCCACAAGGCCCATTGGATACGCTGGGTGTGCGTTGATGATATTTCAGGAGAAGGGGCTGCGAACAACAATGGGTAGGAGATTCCTCCTCGCCCACCCCAAGGTAGTTATGTGAAGGAAAAATTGGTGGCAGCCAGTTAGAGGCCCTTTCCCTCCTTCCCACCCATAAGCTTGGATCAGGGTTGGCGCCTCACTGCTCAGTGGCATCTTAATTGAAATCTATCAGCAGCTGCAGAAGGTGGGGAGGAAGCATTTAAGCAAGGCTCTGATTAGCTCTGCAGACGAGAGCAGCCCTGACAAGAATGTCAACTGTGAGGTCCTCAGCCTCCCCACGGCCTCACCTCTGCTTTTCTACGTCTCAGTCACCTTCCCATGGGGGCTTCCTCTGTTCCTATTGACTTACGGATGCTCTTTACATACTGTGGCTATGGCTACACACCACACACGTTTGCTTTCATTAGTTTACCTATCTGCTTTTTTTCCATATTGTTTATTCCTGAAGTTTTAATTTTTGTATATGTATGTGGGGTGGATGCATGGATGCAGGCAGGTGTGTATGTTTATGCGTATGAGTGTGTATGTGTGTGTGTGTATGTGTGTGCGTGTGTGTGTATGTGTGTGCGTGTGTGCGCGTGTGCGTGTGTGTGTGCGCGCGTGCGTGCGTGTGTGTGTGCGTGTGTGTGTGCGTGTGTGCGTGTGTGTGTGCATGTGTGTGTGTGTGTGTGTGTGTGTGTGTGTGTAGGTCAGATGACAACTTGTGGGAGTCAGTTCTCTCCACTATGTCGAGGGGTTGAACTTGGGTTGTCAGTCTTGGCAGCCAGCAATACCCACTGAGCCATCTAGCCAGCCCCTTTATGCTTTTTTGTGTTGTGCCTTAGATTCAGCAACCTGGGGTGACTGTGTGCAGTGTAGGGTCCTCTGTCACTCTGAGGGTCAACTGGGCTGCATCATAGCTTCCGATCCATTGCTCAGGGATCAGAGACGTGGCAGGCAGAAATCCCAGGTTGGTGAGAGCTGGAGCTTCCTAGTAAAGACATCAGCAGGCTGAGGAAGGGAGGGGAAAGGACTAAGACAGATGAGCCTCAGACGCCCCGCCCACCGCCCGGCAGCTTGCCCTGCAGCCCCAGTGCAGCTGATCCAGAGCCCAGTACTGTTAACCCCAGCTGCGGCATGCTGCCTGTAGGTCTTTGGACCCCAGTGACCAAGCAGTGATGGGAAAGGGCATCTCTCAGCACCCCTGGGAAATGCAGTCTCTCCTGGCTGAGGCCTGAAGAAAAGTCTGGAGCCTTCCGCCTGGATTCAAATTCCCGCTCTGCTGCTGGCTAGCCGTGTGACCTGGCCAGGTGACCACGTCTCTGAGCCTTCCTTCCCCAGCCCAGACGATAAGGGGTCATTGTGCCTGCCTTGCTGGGTCCTTCCCCAAACCACTGGCCGTGCTGAGGCTCCGTAATTAATCATGTTCTAATGTTGCCTGATTGATCACTATGCAGGGGGTGCTTAGAATGGCGCCTGGCTTCCAGGTGGGGATTGTTGTCATTGTCACCTGCTGCCTGTGCATCTGTCCATCGGCCCTGCACAGGTGTGCAAGCCATGTGCAGAGAGAGAGAGAGAGCAGCTGATGCCACCAGCCCTGGGGTAGCAGCCCAGGCGTGGAAACAGGATGTGTTGGGATTGCCTTCTCTTGCGGCTCTCGAACCCACATCCTTCAGGTCGCTGGGTTGAACTGAGTCAGCAGCTCTGAGGGGGTAGAGGGAGACAGGGATCCTGTGATGGGCTGCAGATTGCCTGGCAGAGGAGACCAAAGCTGAGCAGGGGAGGGGCCGCAAGGCTTTTGTGCACACAGTAACCCAAATGCTAGCCCGCGGGGAGGGGCTGATGAACAATATAGGCGCAGAGAACCTGTGAGGCGTTTAATTAAGTGCCCTCTTAATCAAGAGTTGGTCGTGAAGGCAGGGAAGTGCCCTGTTTGTGTGAGACCCTGGGATGGCCCGAGGGCCGAGAACAGGAAAAAGGGAGGGCGGAGTAGAGGCGGGAAGGACGGGTAGGGTTGTGGGGTGTGCAGGGTAAGGACCCGGGGATAGCAGGAGATGCAGGCACTGCCTTAGCTCCATGAACTGAGAAATATTTATTGAGCATGTGTCACGCCAGGCCCCACTGTGCCTGCCGGGGTCGCAGCAAACACCGACTGCGGAGTTGTGTTTAGGGAGCTCAGCTGGCAGGAAATTCACAACTAGAACCGAATGATGAATGTTAAGAAGAAGGGGGGAGTCTGGGTCAGCGGGGGGGGGCGGCCGCCTTCCCGAGGAGGGGCAGAAAGGTACGGGGTGACAAGGAATAGGTAGAGAAAAACGGCACATGCAAAGGCTCGCAGGCCAGGTTCAGGCGAGGGCGCCACCACCCCCACCTGAACTTCACATTCTGACCGGCTCTCTTCCAGCCGTCACCTCAGAACGCCTACCGCTGGGGGCTGTGCCGATGGCCCGGTTAGTAAAGAGGACCTGGATTTGGTCCCCATACCCTTGTAAACCCTAGGTGCAATGCCCGTCATCCTAGCTCTAAGGGGATAGAGACGGGGCGGGGGTCCCTGGAGCTCTCTGGCCAGACAGCCTAGCTGAATCCATGAGCTCCGGGTTCAGTGAGAGACCCTGTCTCACAAGGTGAGGGTCAGGGGACACCTGACGTGGCACGTGCCTGAGGTGCCAAGACACGCTGCATTTGGAGAGCACGTCCCACGTAAAGTGAACGCCGAAAACGGGACACGGCAACTCGGTCTCCTGCTTCTGCCAAAATCACACCTTCGGGGAGAAGGAAGTGTCCCAGAGCACAGAGCACACACTTTGCAGTTGTCCTGAGCACAGGCACTCAGCTCCGGTTGGTGGGAGGGGTACCCCTGTGTCCTTTGACCTCCCCCATCTTTCTCTCCTCCCCCTCCTCAGGGCTCAAGCGGATCCACGCCCTGACCACACAGGCGGCCTATGAGCTGCATGTAGACCTAGAAGACTTTGACAACGGCACTGCCTATGCCCATTATGGGAGCTTCGGCGTGGGCTTGTTCTCTGTGGACCCCGAGGAGGATGGGTACCCCCTCACGGTGGCTGACTACTCGGGCACCGCAGGTGAGGCTCGTGGTGCAGCAGGGGAAGCTGGCCTGCTGGGTTAAGCCCCTCTACCTTCTGGGGCCAGGGTCTAGGCCACAAGTCCCATGGGGGTCCCACCTCTGCAACCCTGTGGAGCCTGGGTGGTTTCCATGTTTCACAGTGAAGAACAGCCCCGAGCAGGAGCCAGGGGATTCCTAGGGTTGGATTCTGTGGGGCCATCGTGTTGTAGAAGAGACCTCTGGGCTGGCTTCCTCCTCTCAGCTAAAGGAATGGGAGCTTCAGAACGCTGGGAGAGCGGTAGAGGCAGCCTGGGCACAGGAACGGCCAGAAGGCATGCGTGTGGCATGGGGTTGGCAGGAGAGCTGCCCGGGCACGGGTCTGAAGGGTGGCGTGCACACACCACACCCAGGCGCACGTGGTTGGAAGACAGGGTTCTGGGGCCCGTGCACACCCCTGCCCAGGTGTCCACCCCTGTGTGTGCTCGCCACGCAGGTGACTCCCTCCTGAAGCACAGTGGCATGAGGTTCACCACCAAGGACCGGGACAGCGACCACTCAGAGAATAACTGTGCTGCCTTCTACCGAGGAGCCTGGTGGTACCGCAACTGCCACACGTCCAACCTCAACGGGCAGTACCTCCGCGGCGCTCATGCCTCCTACGCTGACGGCGTCGAGTGGTCCTCCTGGACTGGTTGGCAGTACTCGCTCAAGTTCTCGGAGATGAAGGTCCGACCGGTCCGAGAGGACCGCTAGGCTGGCGCACTGCCCCGCACTGGTGCCCTCTGCTCATGCCCAGACCCACACGTCTCACCCCCAGCCCACTCCGTGCCCGCTGTTGCAAGAACATTTTCTGCCCACCTGTGCATGGCTGACCTGCTCTTCATTAGGAATGGCTTGGGGCCAGCCCTTAAACTCAGCTCTGGGAGCCAGTGACAGTCCCCTTCACGGCCAGGTCCCTGGTTATCAGCCGACATGATGTAATTTCTACCAGTGGGACTGGCGCCCAACAACCCCAGATTCCCACCTGCCCCAACTTTAGTCCCTGTGCTATGCCTGCTGCCTCCTGGCGGGGCAGCTTCCCCTACTTTTCCCGGCTTTGTGAGAACACACAGGGTAGGGGTCAAACAGCTCTCTGGACCCTGCAGCCGATCAAAGCGCAGGACTGGGGCCTTCTGACACCTGCCTGCCCGCCCTAGCCCGCTCCCTCTGGGTCTGGAGACCCCACGTCTTATCAGACATCCCGAATAGCTGGGGCCCAGCATTGCTTGTTCCTGTGGCTTTGTGGCCAACTGACCAGGGACACAGCTGTCAACAAAGCCCCAAGGCTGAGGCCAGCCCCCGAGGCCGCCCTTCTCTGGGCCTCTGCAGACCTGAGAGGTTTCTATCCTGGCTGCTTTCAAAGCTCACCTGCTTCTCCCCACTCAAAAGAGGTCCACCTGGCTTCCTGCGTGGCAGCCGGGGCTCCTGCCCCTCCTTGCCCAAGCCAATGAGAACCTCTTGAGGTGGGGCTATGGTAGGCTCTTGTGCTCTGTCAACCTTGGTGGACTGCCTCTAGGATCCTCCCGAAAGCCACAGAGTAGAAGCAAGCAAGTCATGGGACTCAGCAGCACGGCCCAAGGCTGCCATCTCTGCAGAGAGGCTGTCCCCTGCTGGTGATGATGGGCACTGCCATCAGAGCCTACCGGTCAGGGGACTGAGGCATCAAGCAGGCTGGACATCTGGACCTGCACCCCACCAGTGCCCCCTACAGGTGATCTCCCAGGAGGGCAGGCTGCAGCGCCAGCCCTCAGCTACCTACTGAGCAGCTTCTGTGTCCTGTGGGAAGCTGATGGGAGCTTTGAGAAGGCTGGGAGGTAGGATGGCAGGAGGAGGGGACACCTGGAGGCAGGCAGGCGAGGACCCGTGCCCTTTCCTGCCACCAGACTGATAGCAAAGCCTGAACCCCACTGATGGCCTGTGCCTCCCGCTCCGTCCCTCACGTTGGGCCTCGGGTCCTCTGTGAAGGTCAGAGCAACAAGACCAGTTGTTGCTGACTTGGTCCCCAGATGGTGGCAGGAAACGTGGCTCCAGCCCAGAGCAGCCAGGGTTCTGAGGGGACAAGGGACGCACAGGGAAGTCCCCTCTCATCCCTCTTCGTCTTCCGCTCCTGGCACCTAGTCTCACGGCAGAGGTGGGTCCTGGCAGACACTACCCACCCCCGAGCTGGTGCTGCGTAGCTTCTGCTGCCAGCCGCCTCTGTCGTTGCGGCTCAGAAGTGCCGAGCGCTTTCTGATGTGTCATCAAACAAACCCCTGCGAGTGTGATGCTAACAGACGCACAGATGTGAGTGAGTGACAGGAGGCACAGTCCCCAGGCCAGGACCGAGCTGCAGAGCACATGAGCCGTGCATCCCAGCAGACAGCTCTGAACAGGTGAGGGTGATGTGCATTCCTGTGCGGACATACTGGGGACAACAGCCCTCCAGAGCCCAGCCACCACCCCAGGGACACCAAACCCTCCCCCAGGCCAGGCTGGTACTCTCTGGGGTGTAGCTTTGCCAAGTACTGGCCGAGTGGGCTCAGAGCTGTTTGGAGCGGGGACAGGCCAACAGGCCTGCCTTCACCTTCCTAGCGTGCACCCTGTGAAGTCAGACAGGAACACTGTCCCTGCACACTGGCTCACAGCCTCCAGTCCCGGCTTGAGGAGTTTACTGGCCTGACGTCTGTGCAATCCCGTCACCTGACATTACAGTGCCCGCAGGAAGCAGGAATGCTGGGAAACTTTTGGGGGACAGGTCAGGCCGACTGAGACATGATGACACTGACCCACAAGGCCTACTTTGGTTTGACAATGGAATTGTCAAATTGACCTGAGTGAGTCCCCTGAGGCTACTTGGCCAAGCCACACTGCTTTCCTTCTGGGGCAGGGTCTCCGTGTCCCACACTAGGGTCTTGGCAGCATGGTTGTCTCCACTTGCAAACCATCGAAACTTCTTTCCAAGCCCGAGCTGGCTCTGTGGATTCCACCAGAGACCCCCAAACTGGCTATTCCTGTGCCATGACAATGGCTGCCTAGCCAGCATGCAGTGCAGCGAGTGAACAGCTCCTCGGCTCCTCTGAAAGCCAGGCTGGTGGGAGATCAGCTCAGAGCTGTTTGTTTGCCTCTCCTGTCACCGCTGCCCGTGGCTTTCGTGTCCCTCATCCTTGTCCCCTCAAGCCTCTTGGTGGAGCACGGGAGTCTGTGGCCATGGTCACTGTGGGTCCTGGCCCCCCAGAGCACTCCTGGGAGAGAGCAGGGCCTTGGGTGGCCAGAAAGTCTATGAGCAGCAGTGTGACCTTCCAGCTCCGAACAAGATGGCTTGGCCCTGAGGCAGGAGGTGTGGACGAGGCTGCCTCGGTCCCTGTTGTGGGGACTGAGGGGCAACGGGTGGCAGAAGACTCACGGAGCCCAGAACTGCAATGAAACAACCCTGAGCCAACGGTCTGGGAGCCTCGGAGAGCCTCAGTTTCCGCATCTGCCTTCGGGGAAGGCTGCTGGATGCTGTGACGGCCCCACCGCGCAGGGATCCATAAATCCAAAGGCCTGGCGTCAGGCCACCGTGGAACCGGGGGCAGGGGAGGGAAAGGCCTGGCGTCAGGCCACCGTGGAACCGGGGCAGGGGAGGGAAAGGCCTGGCGTCAGGCCACCGTGGAACCGGGGGCAGGGGAGGGAAAGGCCTGGCGTCAGGCCACCGTGGAACCGGGGCAGGGGAGGGAAAGGCCTGGCGTCAGGCCACCGTGGAACCGGGGGCAGGGGAGGGAAAGGCCTGGCGTCAGGCCACCGTGGAACCGGGGCAGGGGAGGGAAAGGCCTGGCGTCAGGCCACCGTGGAACCGGGGGCAGGGGAGGGAAAGGCCTGGCGTCAGGCCACCGTGGAACCGGGGGCAGGGGAGGGGTCCAACCTGAGGCTGGCCGGGATGAGCGGGACAGGTGTGCCTGCTGGTGGACGAGATGGGGCCCTGGGACTGGGGAGGAGCTCTGAGGGTCAGCGCCACACCCCATGGGCAAGCAGTGGGGGGCAGTTGCTACTTGGGGGTGGTGTGCACTTGGTGTCTTGTGTGTCCCTGTCTCCAATAAAGTCTTGTGGTGACCCAACCCCAGCATTCACCCGTAGTCCCGCCCCCCTCCATGTCACAGCAGAACTAGACAGTCACGTGATGTCTGGGACCGCTCTGCTCGACTTACCAGGTAGCTCTGCGCTCTCACTGAGTTACTGGCTAGGCAGACGCAGGGCTGGTCTGGAAATCTGGGTCTCACTGGGTCACCTATGCGCGTTTGCTATACGTGCTACTGGCGTCTCTGTGATGGTGAACCCCCCCACAGGGCATGGGTCCCGGGCTTCTGTGGAGCTGACTCTCCTGGGAACTAACCGACAGTCATTTATTCCTCAAACTGACTTGGGGCTTCAACTTGAGGCTTAAGTTATTTCACGAAAGGCAGTGCTGACTGAGGGCCCGTGCTGAGCGGAGGAAGGCACCGTCATGGGGGCCGTTGGAGAGGCAATCTCACTCTTGGACTGTGGGGGTGTCCTGAGTTCTTTCCACCAGGTCCCATCGTCCTGCCTGTAGGCCTCTCGCTCTGGGTCACAAGGCTGGAAGAACAGAGATGGGGATGCCTGGGTATAGGACTCCCGAGCCAGGACACAGAAAACTACGGTGATTGTGTCTACCCGTCTCCTGTGGCGGCACCCCACCACCTAGGTGGGGCCCCGCCTTGCCCATCTAGCCCGTTCTCCGGCACTGTTAAGCCAACGTCATTGATACTTCCCTCAACTGGACCACTCTGGCTGTGACTCCAAGAGCCATTTGGGTAGGTCTTACTGATCAGTCTCACGGAGTTTTCTAGAGCTATCAAGGGGTCTGGGGACACGCCTCCAGTAGGGCACAGCACCAAGGGAAGAGAGCTCCCCAGGGCTCTGCGGGGAGACTAGGGAGGCCAGAGTGCTGGTGAACGTCTGTGGGCTGGGCACGCTGCTAGCCATGCCCACTCAGGGCTCGGAGGGTCCCCATGACCTTCATGACACGAGGGTTGCTATGACATCAGTTTCAGAGGTTCAGGGCTGCCTGACATCAAAGCTGGATGGGCTTCCAGGGTGCGTCCTATTCTGGGAGGAATCATGTGGCAAAATTCAGAAAAAGCCAAGAGCCTGAGGGCTGGATCAGTGCCTGCGAGGGCACGGCCCAGACTGGCTGTCACGAATATGCCCTTACCCATGCAATCCGAGCCCTCCCTCCATGAGAAGCAAGGGACAGGTGCATAAGTCAGGCTGTAGTCCATCTCAGATGGGCAGTATGGAGGGGCGGGATGGATCCCTGTGCCCTCTGACCTTGACGAGGCCTGTACTGCTGGATGACAATGTAGGCCCCCTCAGCTCCCGCCTCCACACCGCCCTGGGTACTGGGTGCTGGCAAAGTCCATGGTGGCAGGTGGTGGCTGAAGAAAAGGGCCAAGAAGCAGAGGTCCAAACGCAGGCAGGAGTCCGGAAGCAGAGGTCCAAATGCGGGCAGGAGCCCGGAAGCAGAGGTCCAAATGCAGGCAGGAGCCCGGAAGTGTGCCTGGAGAGTGCCCTTGGAGTCTGGCTGGCCCTCAGAGGCAGGACTTTGATGAAATCAAACATCTGAACTAGCTTCCTGGCCTGAGGGGCGTGGCATGACACGTGGGAACCCAGTCTGCGCTGAGGAACAAGTTGGCCACCAGGAAGCCTGTCTGCAAAAGGTTCCACCATGCAGCTGCTGAGGCCTCAGCTGGGGGTGGTGGGCACTGTCATTAGTCACCAGAAGAATTGCACTGAGTAGCGGCCCCGGAATGGGCAGCTTCCAGAGGGCATCTCTGGTAAAAGGGGTGGGTTATGGGGGTACTGTGACACACTCCCTGTGGTGACGCCAGGCTCATAAGAGCAGCACCCAGCCGTGGACTCTGCAGGAGAGAAGCCATGGTGTGTAGTGAGGGGTGTCAGTGTCAACCACCGCCTCCTCACGACAGGCACCAGTGCAAAGTGTGAGCGTTGAGGACCCCACTGCCCGCCCTATGCCTTGGCCAGGGTCCACACCAGGCCACCATGACAGCCACTGGGGAGGTGGGTGTGTGCTCACACTCAGTTGGGGTTCAGTAGGGAAAGCCATGTGGCTTCATATCAGGGTGGGTAGCCACGTCCAGACAACAGGTGCAGCCCAGCCATGGGGCTGGATGGTGACGGACAGTGCGCCACCCGTGGGACAGACTGCCAGTGGTGCTGTAGCTGGACAGGGGCCTGCTGAGTTCTGGGTTCTGTCCCAGCACCCCTCTGAAGCAAGAATTCCTGCACAGTTTCTCCTCTCCTAAGGCTCCAGAGAGGCTGCCTCACACACCAGAACTCCTCGCCTTCCCACAGAAGGGACCGGATACCTGTGACCCTCCAGCCCCCGCAGCAGTGAGGAAGCTGCCTCTGTAAGGCCACCGTCTCTGGAGGGTGACCACAGGGGTGGGTAATGATGTCCCCATCCAGGGCTGCCGGGTCTGTGCCCACAGTTCACAGGCAATGACGCCCGCCCCAAGGGGCAGCGCCCGCCACTTCCATCAGACCACATCCTGCTTGTATTGTGTCTTTATCCTGTGGCCCATGCGGCCCCCGCCTTCACCACCAACAGCCCGAAAGGGATCCTAGGGCCAGGAATGCACAGCAATCAGGCGGGCGGGGGCCGTGACACAAGGGACCCACATAAAACAGGGAACCCCCAGGGCCATGCCTACCTGACCAGGACCCGAGCAGCTCTGTCTAGCCCTGGGGCCCAGGGATTCACCTGCCCTCCAGAGAGCAGCCCACAGCACAGTGAGTACAGGGGGGGGGTGCTCTCCAGGTGGGCTGGGTGCAGGCAGGCGTGGCACCTAGACCCACACGGGGAAGAGCAGACCATGGGAGACCCGCAGCTTCATCTGCATCATCCTATAAATCCTACCAATGCAGGTCAGCCCGAGCTGCCAGCCAGGAAGCATTTATCTCCGAGGATAAAGAATATTCCTCGGTCCTCATGCATTCCATAGGGAGAAGGGAATGAGGCTTGCCTGTCCCCTGTTGGGAGGGCCCTTTCCACTGGGACCTGAGGAAGCCCCCTTCACAGCAGCAGGCTGGAGGCTACTCCAGCCCCCGGGGAACAGGGGCTTAGCAAGCTGGATTTGGGTAAGAAGCTGGGCTGCTTTTGTTGTTGTTTTTGAAGCTTTCTGGCTGAGCTCACTTCTTTGAAATGTTTTCAAGGAAGCAGTTTCTGGAAAGAATGCCTCCTCCCCCTTCTATTCCAGCTTCAGGGTCTCCTCAGAGGGCGAGCCAGCCCAGTTAGACTCACCCATGGTCACTGCAAAACAGACTTCCTCTGTGAGGGAGGGAGTAGCTTCCAACAACGTAGAGGTGTGGGGGGACCGGTGACAGCGGGACCATCATGGGTACAGAGAAACGAGGGAACCTTGAACTCAGCTCCCTCCCTTATAAGGCTGGAGGATCTAAGACAAACCCTGCACCTCTGAGCCCGAGGAATTGGGGGTGGCCCTCTGGTTGGCAGTCAGGATGGCTGTGTGCAGGAAGCAAGCATGGCCCCGAGGCCTGGTACACCAAGAAGCCAGGTGGACATTAGAACCTTAAGCCCCCACTCTAGCGTGTGGTGGGGTGCAGTTTGCTAGACTGACTTACTGAAGATAAGCCCATTCAGAGCCTGTCCTGTCCAGCCGCTCCTCCCCACAAGGACCACCAGACCCATTTCCCCCTCCCAGGAGCAGCTTGTCCCTGAGTTAGGGAGACTGGGGTTTCCCAGCAGGCCAACTAGACCTGCTCACTATGAAGCTGGAAACACGGCTGCTGCTTCTCACTCTGCCCACGGCCCGAGAGTCAATAATTGTAATAGAAAATTGAGCCCGAATGCACACAGCCCTGAGGGCCACCCGGGTACCTCTGCAAGCCAGCTGGCAGCCCTGGCATTCTGGTACAGAGCCACGAAGGCAGGCAGCTCCTTGGCTGCAGGTGAGAGTGTGAGAATAAGCCTAATTGGTACAGCCAGCTCCTGCGGTGGCTGAGAAAGGCTGGTCTCCTGGGCTAAGCTGAGTCAGCAGCTATCCAAAGGCTGCCCCGGCCTTGGGAAACCCGGGGCCAGGGATTGTGTGTGACCAAAGCTGGCACTAACCCCTTCCTCTCCTTCCTCCACTCAGATGAGGGGCCTCCTCTCTTTGCCTTACCTCCTTCTCCTGCCACTGAGCACCTGCTTTCCCCTGCCGGACCGAAGGGGACCCACAGACGTTGGTGACATCGGAGCCAGGATGAGCTGGGCCCACCTGGTTGAGGGACGCAGACCACACTCGGTTGGAGGCCCCTTCCTGTGGCCCAGAGCACCACAGCCGCAGGCCCTGCTTGTGGTGGCCAAGGAACTGCAGGCCTCACGCAGGGAACACACGGGCTTCCGCCTGGGGAGGCAGGATAGCAGCGGCCAGGCTGCAGGGTTCCTGCCCACTGACTCGGAGAAGGCCAGCAGCCCCCTGGGGACCCTGGCGGAGGAGCTCAGCAGCTACAGCAGGAGGAAAGGAGGCTTCAGCTTTCGCTTTGGTCGGTGAGGGCCTTTGTGGACTCCGCCCGTCTTTCCACCGTTGCCCCCAACCGACGCCCCGCCCCCCAAGGACCCACACTTGGAGAGGGCAAAGGCCTATCATACTGAATTAGCGGTAGATAGCTGTGCGCTCAACTTTTCGTCTCCAACTTTGCTAAGCTGAAAAACTTGGGTGGTGTTTAAAAAACGAAATCACCGCCCTCCTTCCCCACCCCCAAAACCGTACACAAGAGCAAATGTGTCTTGGTTAGCAAGACTGAGTGTCCTTGTCCTACCCCACGACTCAGGCTGCTGTCTGTCTCAGCCGCCCCCTCCCCCAGTGGTCTGACCGCAGCAGCCCCCAGCCCCCAGAGGCAGTGAACGCAGTGGACCCCTGGCTCTGTCGACAGCTCATTTGATGGCAGGTGGGCCGCGAGATTACAGCGGGAAATCAAAGTCCTGACGGTCCCCACAGGGACGCTGGTAACTGACATCTGAAGTGCCACTGTGACAGAGCACACTCCGCTGTGCATAGAATGCGAGTTACGAACGAAGGGAAAAACAACCACCCAAACAGAGCCAAGACAGTGAGCGCGCTCTCCGCCCCATTAGCACAAGATGCCTCTGGCAAGAAGGCCCTGCGGTGGGCGGCAGCGGCTGCCCTTTGGACGGCCCGCCCATCCCCTCTGGCAGCTGGCCTCGTCCATGGCAGTGTCTGCCAGGCCAAGGGCCTCATGGGAACTGAACTCGAGGAAGGGACGGTTTCTTGCTAAGCAAGGTTGAGTTTCAAATACCCAAACTAGGAATGCGCCGTGTGTATCTTTTGAAATAAAAGTTGTAACAACTGCAGCATCATAATGGAATGCTGGCTTCCCCCTTCCAGGTCCTCTGGGCCCCAGAAACTTCTTTTCTTGAGCTCCTGGAGCCTTCACTTTGGGGAGATGGAAATCAGGCTGTCTGTACCCCGTACACCTCTCCTACCAGCCCCTTAATTGGCAGCTGGGTGAAGGTACAGGGAGATACGGCACAGGCTGTTTCCGTCTTCACTTCCCTACGTTTCTTAGACTGGGGGGGGGCTGACATCTCCACCCCCGGGGGGGGGCTCAGTCTAGGCTGCGTGCAGCCTGGGGCCAGCAGAGGCTCGCTTTCAAAGGCTGCTGAGTCTCGTATATCCCATCCCAGGTCAGACACACCCGTCAGAAGCAGCTCACTCCAGGGCTGGCTGTGACTGCTGAGATGAGGACTTATATTGATGTTTCCATGGCAACATCTCCCCTCCTCCTTTCGAGTGGTGGCTTGCCCCTGTTCACAATTGAATAATTTTCCATTGAGCTGTCACAATTAATTGGTGGATTTTTATTAGCCTTTTAGAACCACACTGGGCCAGGCCCAGCTTGGCACCTCACAGTATTCCGGTGTTTTCCATTCTATTGGTGACTGAGGTCCCCAGTAGCAGCTCTCAGTCCTCAGCAGTCAGGAAGCCACTTCATTAAGGCTGACAGATCGGAGCCACAAAAGACCCACGTTGACTGGGGAGCAGGGCTGGGAGGTGAGGCCAGAACCAAACACCTGACGCTGTGGTAGGCAGCCTCCCCCAGAGCCCACATTACGCTCCCCTGGGCCTTGCGCATGGGCTGCAGTCACAGGGACAAGGCAAGGCCCCCAGAATCTGCGAGGCACACCCCTCTGCCTTCCCCACCGCCTCAGGGAGAGGGGTGGGCGTGTGCTGTGCCGCTCCCTGCTAGTGTGACATTTGTCGCACCCCGGGTCAGCGTCTGTGAAGATGGGCCTGAGACACGGGCGACTGTGGTCCCACTCGGCCGCCCCACCCACCAGGGATGCCCACCCTGCTCCTGCGGGGCAGTAGCCGCGCTCAGTCTCTCCCACGGCTCATTCACATGCAGGAGCCAGGCTGAGACAGACAGACCGCCAGCCAGGGCAGAAGGGCGCCCTGGAGCCAGGCTGGGTACCGCCTGCCCACGAGGCCAGGTGGCCTGCACACCTCTCTCTGAGGGTAGGCGCTGCCTCATTCTGGGTTTCCAGGCCCTTGTGCGGGCAAGCACTCTACCACCGAGTTGCACCCCAAGCCTGGCAGGCTCTTAATTTAGCAGGATTAGATTAACCACGATGGAGAAGACTGAGATGAAGGAAAAGGCCTTCAAAGGAACGAATCTGCTGTCATTACCTTTAATCATTAAAAGAACCAACAAAGCTATTTTTTTTCCAGTTTGCTTGTACATTGGAGCTCAATAGCCCTGAAAATCAGAACACTCAGACTGCTAAAGCATTGATCTGCTAAACCAGCTCGCCTATATGGTGCTAAACTCCCTCTTTAACCCCCTGCCCCCAAGTTTCTCACGCTCTGGCAAGGGCTAGGCCCTCTTCTGTCCTCTTGGGAATGAGGAAATCACTCCCCTCCTGACTGGGGAAGGGGAGGTTCTGGGAAACATCTACCCCGAGGCAGACTCTGCCCCAGGCTGTTCACCTGCTGGCCTGGCATCTCCAGCTCTCAACCTGAGAGCCGTCTGTAGCCACTCACTGTATTTATTCAATGCATAAACAAGAGCCAGGCATAGTGGTGCTTGTAATCCCCACCCTCTGGAGGCTGACACTGGAGGATCAAGGTTCAAGGCCAGCTTTGGTTCCAGAGCGAGATGGAGGCCGGGCTGGACTAATGAGTACTGGTCTGAAAAAAAAAAAATAGAAAAAGGCAAATCTTCCTTATAGTGTGCACATCTATAGGCTATTAGCTGCTAAGACGGATGGAAAGGTCTGTCCATATTTTCCTGTGTTTGAAATAATTAGATGCTTAAGGAAAAAAAAAGTCTCAGGACAGCTGGCTGCCCATCCTCACTTGCTCCTGTACCAGACACCGCAGGAGATCCACAGACCCCACCTCTAGTCCCTGGTCACCCCGTGCTCATGGTCTGTAGGCACGTGCCCCAAAGCCCCCTGGGGAATGGAACCCCAGAGGGTCTGACTGCAGAACTGACATTAGCTGGGTGACTGTCAGGGATGAGGCAGTACCAATGATGGGGTGGGGCTGAGGGGATGCTTGTTTAGTCTGGCCCCCCTTAATGTCATCTGTGCAAAACCAGGAAGCTGAGAGCACAGCAAAGTGCCTGCCACGTGAGCATGAGGCCCTGAGTTCAAATCCGCAGCACCCATATAAAAGCTGGGTGCCTTCTCTAATCCCAGCCCTGGCTGGAGTGGATGGTAGTAGCAGGAGTGGAGACAGGTAGATCCCTGGAGCCCACTGGCCAGCTAGTCTAAACTTCAGGCTTAATGAGGACCCGTCTTGCAAGTTCCTTTGGATGTTGTGCATCTACTCGTGTGTGTGTGTGTGTGTGTGTGTGTGTGTGTGTGCACACGTGTGTGCACACGTGGCGGTCAGAGGGCAACTTGCAGCAGCAGCTGGTTTTCTCCCCCTCTACGTGGGTCCCGTGGACTGAACCCAGGTCTTCGGGCCTGGAAGCGGTTGTTCCACCCATGGAGCCGTCTTGCTGACCCCTCAGAATGGCCATGTGCCGAGGAAACCCACAGCTGTTTGATTCCAGGGAGCATCTATGGTCTAAGGTCAAGAAAGCCAGTCTTAGAAATGAAAGGAGTACATTTCAGGGAGATAAGAAGTATCTAGTCCCTGGGTCGAGGTGACAGGTCTCACCCCTGTGGCCTTACATGAAGCACTGAGAAAACAGGCCAGCAGGGCCTGCCCGAGGCCATGGGAAGGGCCCCGAGAGCCTGCAGGAGGGCCAGCGTCTAGAAGGCCACCGGGTAACTTGGAAGCCCCTCCACATCTGTGATGCCACGGCGGAGGAAGCAGCGCTGGCTGTGCTGTGTGTGGAGTTGGGGGCAGCAGGGCACCCTTGCCGTGGTCCCCGCAGAGCCTGCTGGAGGGAGGCGCTGTCCCCTCAGCTTCCGGCCACTCACTGTCCTCTCAAACTGAACAGCGGGCACCTGGAAGGCATGTCAGGGGAGGGATGGATACTGGGCGCTGCTCAAGGCAGGGCAGGAAGTAGGCTCAGATGAGAGCCGTGCGGGGGGGGGGGTTACCTGCCAGCAAGAATTTCAGGAGCTTATGTCTCTCCTGCTCCAGCCCGGGCACAGGATACTGCCACCTGCGGTAAGGCTGACAAGAGCCGAGCAGCTGGCAACTATGTGCCAAGGACACAGGGTAGCCAAGACATCCTGTTCATGGACGGCAGCCACTGTTCTGTTCTATGACAGCCAAACGTGCTGTGACCCTTTGGGACATGAGGGGTAGCAGGGATGAATCATAACCAAGATATCTGTCAATAGTTCTGTAAACACTTATTTATTTAAAAAATACTACAGAGAGATTTGGATTCAAAAAACACGGAATCATATACAGAACAAAATGTACTGGACTGAGAAGAAGGGGAATGCCGTCGGTGTGCCAGAGTGGGCACAGCAGTGGGCTATTTACATGTCATTTATACGAGAGCAAGTCTATTAAAAAAGTGTAATACCAAAGTATAATGCAAAATATAGTGGCGCATCATGTCAGCAAGACAGACGGGTCGGTACCTCGTGAGCATGGTGTCAGGGCTGGGGGGGGTTGGCTTTTCAAGGCCGCTGGCAGTGTGGCACTGCCTCCCTTGGGCTGTAGAACGGCCGCTGGAGGCAAGGAGGGGACGTGCTATGAGGACTGTCGAAGAACAATCCAGAGGAAATCATCTACCAGAAAAATTAGTGTGGGGCCGTGGCCAGCGCAGTGCAGCCGAGTGGAGAAGCAGGGAGTGTGGCGGTGTCTCGCCTGGCCCAGTACAAGGTCTAGGCAGGCACCCGCTCTTCAGCTGACTGCTCTGGGTCAGTCAAGGAGACGCCCACGCCTGTCTCTGCTCTGGTCCTGGCTAAGCCTGCAAAGTCTACCCCACCCGCAGTCTCCCGGGGCACTGGGCTAAGCACTGTTCTTGGTGGTTAGGCAGCAGTTCTGAGTAGCCAGGGCTCAGGTGAGCCCAGGGCTGGGGGGTCCTTCCTAGCTGTCTGTGCCTAGTGGTTGTTCCTTTCTGTGCAGAGCTTTCAAGTGCTCAAAAACACCAGAAAACGGGACCCTTGCCATCCAGGCAAGGACCAGAGAGGATGAGCCTGACTTCAGGGGCAGGAGAGGGGAAGAAAACTGCTCAGAAATTCAGATCTTTGGGGCTCTCTGGAGCACTAGCCTTGGCCTAGCCAACCAGCGACCGTCACCCATGAACCTGAAGCTTGCTGTCCAGGGTGACAACACACAGCCCCAGCTCTGTCTCCAGTACCCACCCACCTAGACCCTTGGCTTTAGCACCTCACAGCCCTCAAATCAACAGCTTCCTTCACATGAGAAAACTGGACACCGCCTCTCTGGGACAGGTCCTAAGCCAGGGACTTCCATGCCTTGGTGACAAGGCGGATCAGAGGACCACGTTCTTCTTTGAGGACATGGAAAGGACAGTCCTTCTGAGCACACCTCGGAGCTGGGTCTGAGGCACTGGGCAGGGGTGAGCCTGGTGGCCTGGCAGGCCAGCTGCAGTCTTCGAGCGGGAGGCCCACACACAGGCAGTGAGGAAAGGTGACTTGGGGTGCCTGGGCTGGGGGAGGGTGCAGACAGCTGGCGCACAACACAAGGGCCAATTCCCTCAGACCTGGCTCTGCCTGACGCTCTGTAAAGCTCCTGGCCCGCATGCCAGCTCCCCAGTCCTCTGGCCCCCATCCTACGGGCACAAAAGCCCCGAGGACTGCAGCATCTCCGGCTGGCGTGCACTGGCTGCTGCTACCTCTGTACGATGTCACTGATCTCCTTCACAGAGCTGAGCAGCTTGCTGAAGTCCTGTGTGGCAGCTGGGCCACTGGAAGCTGTCGCAGGGCAGATCTGCAGCTCTCGGAGGTTGCTCTCCAGCTTGTTGATGGCCTCACGGAAGGCAAACTTGTTCCTCATCTGCTGGATAGAGTCCACGTAGCTCACACAGAACGTGTACAGGTTCTTGCCAGCCTCCAGCACAGCACTGTGGCTGGCCATCTGCTCTGAGTTCCGGGAGATGGCAAGACACAGGGCCTCAGTGCTGTCCAGAACCACACCCTTGGTGATGGTGCCACTGGCAATGCGCTCTGGCAGTTGGCGGGTCTTTCGAAGAGACACGCGGGTTGATATGAGGGGGATGAAGGCGGCAGAAGATGGCTGGTCCCCGGGCAGGGATGAAGGTGTTGGCGCTGTGGGGGGTGTGGAGACCGGGCTGGTGGGGGTCCCTGGAGGCTTTCCAGCAGACTGAGGCTTTGGCACAGATGGGGGCACAGGCTTTCTTAGTCCTTCTCCAGGTGGGCCAGCCTTGGCGGGGTCGCTGTTCACAGCATCCACAGCCAGGGTTGAGCATTTGGTCTTGGCAGCCCCACCTGCCTCCCCAGCCACTTCTTGACTGGGGCTCTGTGCAGGCTTTCCGGCTTTCCCTGCGGAGGCAGGTGGAGGTGGTGGGGCGGGCTTGAGCTTGGACAGCCGCCCCTTGTCTCTCCCTGGGGACTCTGAGCTGTGCTTGTGCCTCCTTACTCGGGTCTCCTCAGAGGGTGCCTTGTTAAGGCCGACTCTGTTGCTGGGGGGTGCTGGCTCAGCAGCAGCAGGAGTCCCCAAGGCACTGCCCTTGGTCGCCTCTTCCTTGTGAGAGAGGCCGGAGGAAGGAGAGGCGGTGACCTGCCGACGGAGGAGTTTGGGAGTCAAGCTGGGAGGGCTGGAGCCTGGGCTGGATTCCATGTCCTTGAAGACTTCCTCAGCAGCCTCCTCGTTCTTCTTCGCCAGCCGGGGAGGGGGTGTCACGGTGCCTCTGGCCGCCTGCTCAGACCTGGTCTCACTGGCACGCTTCCGAGGCAGAGCTGGCTTTTCACTTTTGTGTCCCCCAAAGGTGGATGAGTCAAACTGTTTGCCAGCAGACGGCAGGTCCCGAGGCAGAGTGACTGACCGCCACTCTGTGTCCCTGGCCCCGTGGGGCATGCAGGAGGCTGAGCAAGAGCGCAGGAAGCGCTTGCTGGAGCTGATGCCGCTCTCCTCTTCACTGGCAGCTGGGCGGCTGCTGGTCAGTGTGCTGGACTTTTTCCACAGGTTGGGAGAACGGAAGCCTGAGCTGCCTGGCTCCCGGAATGCTCCATTGGGGACACCAGCCCCATTGCTGGCCTTTGGGGACTTGGTAGGCTCTGCTGCATCTGAGGGAGTGAGAGTTGGTGGCCCGTTGCTGATGTCCCGGCCGTCATCCTCACTAGCCCCTCTGCGGTCTGGCTGGCCATCCATCTCACGGAAGGAGCTGCTGCGCTTAGGGGGCGTTGGCGCCATTTTCTTCTTCTTCTTAATCAAGGCGCTGAACAGGTTGGTCTTTCTGTCCTTGGGAAGAAGGCGCTCATCTTCGTTTAGGGGGCCGTCTGGGGGCCCGCGCTCCTTTCGAGGAAGCAGTGGGGACACAGCAGGTTCACTGTCCAGCACATCTGCAACAGAGAGAAGAGTGAGCAGAGCTCCCGGGACGCTGCGCTCCAGGCTGCACTGAGCGCCCCGCGGGGAGCTCCCCACACTGCTCTGCACCTCAGCTTTCCTACAACAGGCACAGCAGAGCCCAAGTGCTGCTGAGGGCAGAGGACAAAGAGAGGCATTCACCACAGCTGGGCATCGCCATCGGGATCGTGGGGTCAACACCGGCACTACCAACAGAGGTACAGGTCCTCTCCAAACACAGAGGGGCAAGGGCTGAATGACCCTGCCTTCCTCATCCTGAAACCAGTTAAAGCTGTGGAGTCCTCCAATGTCACACTCTGGTCTGAAGAAACAACAATGCCAAGGGTCAGGCTTGCTGAGGTTCCTGAGGTGTAATCTGAAGGAAGAGGTCAGGTATCCCCCGGGGGCATGACAATCAGCTGCTGTGACAGACAGGGAAAGATGACCTTTACAAAACTTCAAGTGGGTATTTTTAAAATATGAGTGACAGTTCACACAATGCCTTTGTGCTGTCAGGTCAGCTGAAGGAGGCATCCCTTGATCTTTTGGACAGAGATGGAGGCCGCACCTGTCCTAGGGCTGGCAGAGGCACACAGCGATGGTGAGCAGAAGACCTTCCCACACCTCAGGACTGTCGTAGAAGCTGGGAGAGAGTCTACTGGGTCCCAGAGCACAGATATTAGGGACACTTCTGGCTCACAGGAGATGACCTACCAAAACCCTCATGACACTAAGAACAAACACACAGGCCTGCTCGTCACCTGCTTTTCCTGAGTACACGCTCCCACGGCAGCCTCTCTGCCCCATGCCAATGACCCAACAGCATGACAACCAGCAGGGACGAAGGGACTGCCTAGGTGTCACAGCCTCCAAAAGAGTAAGGAAGATGATTCAGTGGCTCTACAATTTGGACTTTAAAAAAAAAAAAAACCAAGCACACATATGTACATGCACATGCAATAGCATACATGTAGAGGTCAGAGGGTTAACCTCAGGTATTAGCCTTTCCTTCCAACCTTGCTGTGTACACCAAGCTAGCTGGTTCTGTATTTCTGAGGGTCTCTCTGCAGGAGAGCTGGTGCTACAGATGTGGGCTGTGTACACTAGAACTCAGGTCCTGACAAGCCCGCCGCACAACCAATGAACCACATCCTCAGGAAAACTTCCACACACACACACTGGCGCTTGTGTGCACTGTCCCTAGGCTGGGCAGTTTTATGTCAGCTTGACACAGGCTGAAGTCATCTAACAGAAGTGAACCTCAGCACTCGGGAGGCAGAGGCAGGTGGATCTCTGTGAGTTTGAGGCCATTCTGATCTACAGAGGGAGTTCTAGGATAGCCAGGGCTACACAGAAAGACCCTGTCATGAAAAACCAAAACAGAAAAGAAAATGACTCCATAAGATTGGGCTGTAGGCAAGTCTGTAGGTCATTTTCTTAATTAGCGGTTGATGGGGGAGGACCCGTCCACTATGGATGGGGCCATCCCTGGGCTGGTGGTCCTGGATACTGTAAGAAAGCAGGCTGAACAAGCCAGTAAGCAGCATCCCTCCATAGCCTCTGCATCAGCTCCTGCCTCGGATCCTGCCCTGTGTGAGTTCCTGTCCGACTTCCTTTGATGATGGACAGTGATGTGTAAGCAAAAGCTACATAAACCCTTCTCTCCCCTGTTTCTTTGGCCATGGTGTTTCATCTCAGCAATAGTAACCCTGGACAGGACAGTCCCTAAAGTACTTTATGTGCTGTGTGGGTTTCACCATTCAGCTTCTCATCAGTATGAGTATAGGTTTAAAAATACAACTGTACAAAAAAACAAAACAAAACAAAAAAAAAAACATAACTGTGGATTCTACTGAGTAAATACCCTTTATGAATCCCTAGGAGAACCAAACTTTGTCTTGCCTGGTTGCACTCAACCAGACCCACGGCCCATCAGTCCAGTTGGGAGCCCCTGGAGCCTTTGTGAGTTCAAGCACCACCCTCAAAACCAGACTTCAGTGGGTCTGCAGGGGCGCCAGACACTGGCCCAGCAGTCCTCAGTACACAGTACAGTCCCTGGACATCTCTCGCCACCTCCTGACCCAGCCGCACTGCCCTCACTGAGCCTAGAAGAGTGCAAAAAGACACCCCAGGAACTACAGGGACCCCAGCCTGGTCCCAGGGACCAAGTCCACACTGGGTGACTCCCAGGCTGCTCTATTTGGCTGGACATTGTTTATTGCCATGTATGTCCTGGAAGATGCCCACAGCACTGTGAAGAACACATGGAAAGGCTGGTGTGCTTCTTGGCTGGCATCCAGTTTTGTGCCTGTCTAAGCAACTGCTGAATGGCTCCCTGGGGGAGAATGGCAGCTCTGGGCAGGAGGTGGGCGGATCCTCCTCCCTGGGGCTGGGCCACTGAGGAGCGTCTGCTGTTCTCTGCCAGCTCCACTGAACTTTCTGCTCGCCTACCCTGGCTTGCGGGGTGAGAAGGCATGGACGTACCGCTTTCTCCCAGGCCTTTCGTGTGGGGAAGCTCAGGGGTGTCAGGTGCGTCTTTCTGCTCAGCAGCTCTCCTGCAGGTCCTGGTCTTGGTGGGCAGCTCTGGGGCCTGCAGCACGCTGCCAGCAGCTCCTCTCATGCCCCGCTTCCCCAGCTCCTTCTCCACCTCTAAGGGTCACACACATACAATCCAGCAGTCATCAGCAAAGGTGCTGTCTTGAAAGGGATTCTCCTTTTCCTAATTTATACATATTCTTGTGTGTGTGTGTGTGTGTGTGTGTGTGTGTGTGTGTGTGTGTGTGTGTGTGTAAGGGTGTTTTACCCCCTGGGACTGGAATTATGAGCCACCACCATTTGGGTGCTGGGGACTGAGCCTGAGTCCTCTTAGTCACTGAGCTGTCTCTGGTTTCCAGGACTCTCTTGTTCTTAAAGTCTATGCAGTTAGAGAAAAGGGACACAGATGCTGAAGAAATAGCACAGCATTTTCTAGAACTCTGTATGACTCCGGAGACACAGAGCCAGCCTCTGTGTAGAGTTCCGTCTCTCACTTGGCCTGGGCACTTTTACAGGAATGACTGAAGGCCTGTCCAGCCCCAATCCAAATTTCAACCCACTGCATGCTCCCAGGAGGTACGTTACCATCTGAGATACTGGACTCCTGGAACATGGTTTCAAAGGCTTGGTGGATTTCAGCAAAGGAGGGCCGGTCAGAGGGATTCCACTGCCAACCTGGACAGAGAAGACCATGTCAGAGCAGGGAAAGCACTGCTAACAGGCCAGGGCTAGCCATCCAAGGGATGGTCTGGACATGACGGAGGCACTTCAAGCCTGCTAACTGCTGATGCCACGGCAAATTAAACTGCCAAATGCTACTGTGTCCTATTACAGATGCTAAGAATTTTAAAAGAAGTGGTGGTGGTGGTGGTGCATCCCTTTAATACCATCAATCAGGAGGCAAAGGCAGGAGGATCTCTGAGAGTTAAAGGCCAGCTTGATCTACAGACAAAGTTCTGAGACAGCCAGAGCTGTTACACAGAGAAACCCTGTCTTGAAAAACTAAAACAAACTTTGCACCAACAATCCAGCTTTTAGAAATATCAGGGTTAAGTTTGCCTTGTTTACAGCAAACACAGAATCCTCAACATAGCACTTGCTGCCAAGACTGATAACAAGTTTGATCCCTGGGATCCACATAGCAGAAAAAGAGAACCAACTCCTGCAAGCTGTATGCTGTGGAGTGTACATCACCATAAACAAAAATATAAACAAACAAATAAAATGTAATGAAAGCAAATGTGTAAAACAGCCAAAACCTCATCACAAGAAGACAGATGAGGCCGGATGGTGGTGGCGCACGCCTTTAATCCCAGCACTCAGGAGGCAGAGGTAGGTGGATCTCTGTGAGTTCGAGGCCGGGCTGGACCGATAGCCTCCGAAACAATACAGAGAAACCCTGTCTCGTAAAAACCAAAAAAAAAACAAACAAAAAAAAGACCATGTGTAGACACACACTGCAGACAAATGCACACACACACACTCATATAAACACCACTAGAGTTCTATCTTATAGCCAGGTGTGTGGAAGCAGGACCCAGGGATCTATCTACCTACTAATAAGAATCCAGGTTTGGTATTCATCTCATCCTTTCATGCTTAAAAAATGAAAGAACATGTGCATGTGGTGTATACCTAACCCTAAAACTCAGGGTCCAAGCAGGAGAGTCACTATGAGTTCCAGGTCAGCCAGGGCTACAGAGTGAGATTCTGATCCAAAACAAGAAACAAACTAAAAAAATATCCCTCTGAAAGGCAAACGAAAACAACTCATACGTATGGCATCTGTAAGTAAATGCACTGGCAGGCACCCAAAAGTCAGACTCCATGAGTGGCTTGGGAACATGGGAACAGTGCCCAGGGCCCACAGCCTCCTGCAGACCTGCACCACTGCAGTTTCCTCAGGGCCCACATGCACCCTCTGAACAGGCTGGGGAGGCTCACATGCTCGCATGAGTTCATAGACCTTCTCCGGGCAGCCTTCAGGGCGCTCCATACGGTAGTCTTTTTCCAGAAGCTCATAAACCTGTGACAGGTCAATTCCTGGGTAAGGTGACATGCCATAGGTAGCAATCTCCCAGAGTAACACTCCAAATGCTGAAAGAAAGAAGGAAGAAGACGTCAGGGCATGTGAGGGGTTGGCCACAGAGATGACTCAGTGGGTAAAGCATCTGCCTCACAAGCATGAAGGCCTTTCCATTCTAGAGTCAACAATGGGGAAGGAGAGAAGTAACTCCACCTCTGACATTTACATGTGCCAAAGTACACACACACACACACACACACACACACACACACACACGAAAATTATGTAGAAGGCTTTTCCACACTGTGCAGGAGAGAGCTGCAAAGCAGTCTGATCAGTGATATTTACCAGGCTCCCCATGACAACAGCCAGGAAAGGTAGGACAGAACAAAACTGTTTACTCATACTAAACTAAAACACGTGAAAGGAGAGAAGGGGAAAGGTGACCTCCTGGGTCTCTCAGGTAAGTGGCACAAGGGCTAGATGTTAGATACCATGTTCTGCTCATAGCTGTGTGACTGACTGTGTCGCATGCCTGTCAGGCCACACAGCTCTGAATGGCTTGTAAAAATCTTGTGAACTCTCAAAGTCTTGATGTCCTTCTTCCCACCAGCAGTACCAGGGGTCCTTAGAAGAACAGGTGACTCAGATCTGGGACAAGGAAGAGACCTGGGCATGCATATCAGAAAGACTACAAGGGTACACTATCAAAAGGGCAAGGGAGGAGTTCCCACTGGCCAAAGACGAGATGCTCCACTCTTTCCAGAATGGAGGACCTGAAACCTATCAGTGTGTGTCAACAAAGAGCTCATAGTAACACCACAGAAGACTAGCAAATCCAACCGCCATCACTACAGGGTACTTAGTAAAGTGGGAGCCATGACACGAACCTATTTTTGTACCAGCTCTACCACCGGGCAACCAAGCACTTGCCAGGTTTTTTCTTTTATACTCTGTGGCTAACTGAATATGGAACAAAGGAATTGGAGAATGACCACATGACAGCCCCTAGTGAACCACCAGTCCTGGCTCTTGTCATTTAGAGCTGGTATACCACATCCCACCAGAGCAGAGGTTCTCAACCTTCCTAATGCTGTGACCCTTTAATACAGTTTCCTCATGTTGTGGTGACCCCAACCATAAAATTATTTTGTTAATACTTCATAACTAATTTTACTGTTGTTATTCATCGTAAAGTAAATATTTTTGGAGATAGGGGTTTGCCCAAGCAGTTGAGAACTGCTACACTAGAGGGAGAAAAGTCAAGCATTATGGATAAACCGATCTAAGAGCATGCCTCCTCCTCTAATGCGTTAAGTGAAAGAAAAGTCAACCCAAATGTCATCAGCTACCCAGATCTGATTTAGAATTTTCTAAGAGGATTGAAGCCAGAGGCACTGAACAGATGACAGCACAGGGACACAACAAGCAAAGTCCAGAATCTGGAAACATCTAAAGGAAAGGTGACAGTTTATCAATAAAGCAACAGCAGGGAAATAGAGTCACACAGGACCCATCAACTAATGCAGTGAGTGAGCCATGCTGGCTCTCGCACCAAACTGTAAACACAGACAAGGTTTTTATAGTTTAACTGGAAATGTGAGCACTGGCTATTTGACAGTATTCAGAAGTCAGTCAAGCCTGGGTGTGCTGTGCTGTAAGAGTCATCTGTAAGAAGCAAATACTGAAGTGTTTACATGTAAAATAATATGATGTCCGGGATTTGCTTTAAGGTAACAAAAGGCAAGGGAGTGGGTGGGACATAGGGCTCACTGCTCAACTCCATCTTTTCTGGCCATCCTCAGCATGAAAAGTTCTTTAAGTCAGACACTGTGGCGCATGCCTTTAATCCCAGTAGTCGGGAGGCAGAGGCAGGTGGAACCCTGAGTTTGAGGCCAGCCTGGTCTACAAAATGAGTTCTAAGACAGTTGAAGTTATGTAAAAAGACCTTGTCTCAAAAAAAAAATCTTTAAAAATAAAATAAATACCAGGTGGTACTTCTACATGAAGTGCTGACTGCAGCCCAGACCAAAGTGAGCCGCTCTCCTGTGGGAGGGTGACTCTGAGCTCTGCCAGGCGCCACTGCACCATCAGGCTTACAGCTAGCTAATGTGGAACGGAGACGCGAATGCGGTGCTACTCTAAATGTCACCGCTGCTTCATTTTTGAAAGAAAGCAGGAAGAGGGTTTTAAAATAAGCCAGAAACAAACAAGAAAGAGGGTGGAGTGATGAAGGAGAGATGGAGGTAGAGAAGAGAGGAGGGACGCCCACTATCAAGGACTGCCCAGGGCCTGGTCCTTACCCCAGACGTCTGACTTGATGGAGAACTTGTTGTAGGCCAGGCTCTCGGGCGCAGTCCACTTGATGGGGAATTTGGCTCCAGCATGGGCCGTGTAGGTGTCCCCTGTCATCAACCTGCTTAGGCCAAAATCAGCCACCTTCACCAAATGGTTTTCCCCAACCAGGCAGTTTCGAGCAGCAAGGTCTCTGAAAAAGGAAAAAAGCCAACTGTACGAGCTCCTCACCGAGCCCCCGCCAACTCTGCAGCTTCCCTACTGTTGACAGATGATGTAACACTGACACAGAGAAAACCAAGTGTGGTCCCTAGAACTTTTAAATGCCTGGCTGGGGTGCAACAGTCCCTTAGCAAATACTATTCGGGCTTCAATAGCAGGAACACAAGCAGACAGGGTGGAAATGCCAACAGGTCCTGCCCCATGACCTGGAGCATGTTAATTACCTTGGAACTCAGCTACCTCACCCTTAAAATGAAGACAGTAACAGGGCCTGCCATGGCCATCTGTGTGTGATAATGGATAGTATGCAAAGGGCTTCCTCTGATGCTTGAAGAATAACAAATGTTATCTATATGTGTGTGCTGCTACTGCCCCATGCCAAGCACAGCGAACAGCTAGCCCAATGCTCAACTGAAAGAGACTGACATGAGTTAGTCTCTGCCTGTCCTATCTGTACTCAGCAGGAAAATGAAAACTGAGTCTGTTGCATTCTTTACTTCACTTTCCTCTTGCTTCCTGATGCCTACCCAAATGTGTTTGAGAAACTCTCCCGTATAATCCACCTCCTCTCACCTCCTGAGTCTTCTAGGGAAGAAGGGGTCTAATCTTTGGTTTATGGATGTTAATCATGAAATCACAAGGCAGCTAGGAACCGAGGAATGAGAAGATCAGGCAGCTTATGGCGACAGCTGCATGATGCAGCTTGATCATCAGCAATGAGAGAGAAATTAAACACACAAGAGTTGTGCCTAATAGGATTTCTGGTAAGGCATTTTAGTGTGTGAACGGAGGGGGAACAGAGCTGGTCATGCAAGGCAAGCCAGAAGTCAGGAAATCTCAATTTGCAGCATCAGAGGCTTCACTTTGCTGAGCGACAGGAGCGTTTGGATTGGGCTCTTGTGGAGCAGAAAAAAATCTGTCTTCCAAGGGGCTGCCAGCATTTCACACACACTACTTATTCCTGGCTATGAAATCTCATGTCGAGGTTTCACACTTGAGTTAATTGGGTAGGAAAGGTCACCACAGTGGCATGGAGAACATCTTGCATGACGGAGTCGGGCCAAGTCCATCAGGCTCCCTCCTGCACAGGTTGTCACTCTGCTAGGAAGCCACTTCCAGCAGCAAAGCATGCAAGCTCAGATAATTGTGGCACACTTGAAGGTCAAAACACTCCGGGTTTTAAAAGCAGCAAAAATGCCTAGTTCCGGCTTGCATATTCTATAGAATTCTACAGCCATGGAAACATCCCCAAACCCAGTGACAGCAGGTGAACAATGAAACACAAAGAGAAGGAGGAAAAGCCACACACTGACACTAGGCCTACGCCCTGGCTTCCACTGTGTCCAGGCAGAGGCCTTACTGAATGCTGGTCTTGGGACGCATTGTTCCAGAGGGAGCCGTGGCTATTAGGAAGGAAGAAGACCCTTTACAAGCTTCATGTAATATTCACCAAGTCCGAAATGGCTCAGAAATGAGCCCTTCTTTCCCTGGCATTAGCTGCTCCACTGGCCCAGGCCTGGGGTCTGAAGGCCTCAGTCCCGCCTGCCGCAAGCAGCACTTACGTCAGGACCAAGGCTGGGAGCTGAGACAAGACTCCACAGCTGGGTGTTGAGAAGCAGGGGTGAGGCTCTGCCCAGCCCTACCTGTGGATGAAGTTCTTCTTCTCCAGGTACTCCATGGCTGAGGAGATCTGTGTGGCCATGTAGAGCAGCACCACAGCGCTCACCTCTTGCCGGTTACACTCTCTGAGGTAGTCCAGCAGGTTACCATAGGTCATGAACTCCGTGATGATGTAGAACGGAGGCTCCCGGGTACACACCCCTGACAACAGGACATGGGGGCTTCAGCATGTAGCCCTGCTCCCAAGGGTAGGAACCCTAGGAAAGTCTGGCACTGAAGAAGGGCTTCTGAGCTGGTGAGATGACTCAGCGAGTAAAAGCGCTCGCCACACAGGTCTGCCCCCAGCACCCATTGGAGATGGGAGGAGCGACCCCAACTGACTTGTCTTCTGACCTCCCCACAGACCCCAAACACGAAGCTCTCTTGGATTAAGAAGTAACGCTCACTCAGTGCACGGACACCTGCACCAGAGCTCTTCACAGCCAGATGCCCACGGCCCTTCTTCTGAGTCCGAGTCCGTGCTTGCTTACCTAGCAGCTGTACCAGGTTAGGATGTTTGATCTCCTTCATCACTGCAGCCTCCTTCAGGAACTCCTCCACCTCCATGGTGTCCTCCTGCAGAAGGGACGTTCAGGTGTAAGATTTCTTTAGCAACAAAGTGGCTATAAGGAAGGACCCAGCTTCAAGAGCCAATACAAACAGCAGTGGCAACCTACACTCAGCCTTTTGGTGACCACTGGTTACATTGCTCTTGAGAGTCTTGTCCTGATGATGTGAAGAGTCCTGTGGGGCAAATCTCACCCAGGGCATTATGAGTTGAATGGGAAATGTTGCCCACAGGCTCATGCCTTGAACAGTTCTTCCCCAGCTGATGGAACAGTTGTGAAAGGCTGTGGAACTCTCAAGAGGTGGGGCTTGTCTGGGAGTAGTTATTATGGGCAGGTCTTTAAAGGTTAGACCCAGCCTCTGGTTCTAGACCAGCTCTCCTCTTCTTGGGCTATTCATAGGAATAGCTATGCCACATACTCCTGCTACCACAGACAAGGCCACTCTGCCATGCCTTCCACACAGTGATGGACTGAAGCCCTTTGACACCCTGAGCCAAACTTGATCTTCTCTCCCTTACTGTTTCTGTCAGGCGCTCTGTCTGAGTCAATGGGACTGCGGGTCAGAGCTGCCCAGGTCTTCTGTGGGGTTTTGGAGATGTGCAAACACTATGGTACTGTTTCCACAAGGATTGTGTGCTTCCTAATATTAAAGGGAACGGTGTGAAGAGTCTGCATAAGCTGGCTCGAGAGCCACATTTCCAGAGTGCCTCTCACCGCAGAAGGAGCGGACAGACACTGAGCTGCTTAGGCGTGCGGCATCACGAGCACCTAATGAAGCAATCACCACTGACTAGGGGGTCAATCACCAGATTCTAAAACTATCCTGCCAGCAGCTCTCTGACGACTCCCAGAATCATCTGTGCAGGTCAGACATTCAGGGCCAGAGACAGGCAGGCTACCCCTCTTCCCACCTTTCCAGGCCGAGTCTATGCTCTCCAGCCTCCTTGCATCCTAAGCTACTGTCCTCTGCAACTATCACAAGCAGGGACAGGCAGCAGTGAGTGGCAGGGTCTCCCTAGCTGTAAGAACAAGTCTCTGGAGGAGGACAGCAGGCCACATGCAGTGTCTGCCTGTGTAGTAGGGAAAAGGCTTCTTGAAAATCAGCTTCCCTGAGTAGACAGCTGCACCAGACCTCGTGCCAAGTATGTAAGTTTCTAGACTGTCCTTGTGCCCAAGTGTGGAACTGTCCACAGGTTGGCACTATGTTGTCCCAGTTCCTGCCCTGGCAAGGGGAGTGACATTCCAGAGGATGGGCCACCTTTTTTCGGGGTTTTTTTTCCCTTGGTCAGCCAATGCCAGTGTGTGGTCAGTTACCACTGAACACAGGCTCCAAAAGACCAAACAAAGATGTGATGTGCTGTTGTCTAAATGTGAGCTGCTGATGTCACCACAGCATGCTGCCTGTCACTGCCCAACCTAAGCAGAGGGCATTCATCCCCATGCCACCCACGGGCTGCTGGGCTCTCAGGTGTGCGGCACTCTGATGGACCTGATGACACACTCACATTAAAGACTAGGGGATGCCTGCCAGAATCCAAGGGTCAATGCTGCACAATACAACTGGCTGTGACAAACTTACTCTCCAGGGACGCTTTCTAACATTCAAGCCTCTCTTTCCTAATGCAAAACACCACAGTAAACCACACAGGCACGTTACTTTGGAAGTCTCATTTGCTGTAGAGCCATCTACCCTTTTCTAAAAGACCCATGATCAGACTGTGTGTCTACAAATCCCTGACCTGTCTCACACACACACGGTGCAACCATTCTTTCCTGTCTATCTGTATGCCTGTCTCCATTCCACCTCTCTCTCTCTCTCTCTCTCTCTCTCTCTCTCTCTCTCTCTCTCTCTCTCTCTCTCTCTCTCTCTCTCTCTCTCACACACACACACACACACACACACACACACACACAGAGTAATCATTCCTTACCTTTTTCTTTTCAGAAAAATCAGTGTGAGTTTGTCTCCCCCTGCTGGAATTAGATATGACAAAATTTCTTATTTAAACTGCAACCTACCTAGGTTTGTAATTATTGGAATTTTAAAAAACAAAATACCAAAACCCTCATTCTACTTTGTGATGCTCCTCTGCTTGTTTTTTAATAAATACATGCGATTCTTTTGGTGACAATTTTTCCATTTACATGATAAAAGTGGAAGACACGCTCAGAGGCCTGAATTTTCCTTCATCTCTTTGTCCTTTGTGCTTGTTGCTGATGGAGGGCCAACAGGTCTTCACAGGCCCTGACAGGCTCCTCCCTCTTGAGAGAAAATGGAAACCTCTGAGACAGTCCTACAAAGTGGCTAAGAGGAGGGCTTGTCAGCTATGCTACTATGAACCCCTCTCTTTCCTTCTTTTCTCCTGTCTCTACCTCCTAGGGGCTGGGCTGGGCCTGCATCTGTATACAGTGCTAAGGAGCAAGCACTGTAGGAGCTGGGCCATCTCAGCCTCTGAACTTGTTTTCAGTGCCTGGCCAGCAGGCATCAGGGGCATGCACTCCTATTGCTGTAGCAGTTACTCTGGTCCTAAGAGGCACACTGCTCATCTGGAATAAGGACTGGTTTTCTAACGAATACTGGCTTTTATTTTATCTTATTTTGTTTTATTCCCACAGACACAATCCCTGAGACTCAACAGACAGTTATCTCTAACATGCTTCCTGGCTTCACCCCAAGTGTAGGCATTTTACAGCCTAAGAGAGGACACTGCTTTTAGAAACGGCGCTGCTCTTGGGCTCTCGGGGGTGAGGCCAACAGCACAGTGGACTGGCACAGCAAAGCCACATGTACCCTGGGGAGATGCTGGCTCCTGACAAGCCCTCGTGGTGGGAAGCAGATGTAGAAGCTGAAGTTCCACATCTGGTTTGTAACCACCTCCCACAAAGAGCTCACACAAAAGCATTTGTTCTCAAACATCATAGCCACACTGATCTCCACGGCCAGCAGAGCCCTGGCAGGAATGGTGGCAGTGCAGGAACTAGCTGCCATGGTACAAGTCCAGTCACAGCCTCTCTCCCTGGTAATGCAGCCGCTATGTGGAATCTGCAGTGTGGCTGTCAAATGTTAATATTGTTGCAGAGTCCTCTTCCCTTTCGCTGTTTCTAGAGTTCCCCAATAAACTATTTCTAGGGGGGAAATGTAAAGGCAGATTTGCTGCCCCTCAGGGAGGGGAGGTGGTCTCACAACGCCAATGGGGGTGCAGTCAGGACTCCAGCCACCAACTGGGGGAGGATATGATGTATTCACACTGGTAGCTGCTTTGCTTTTGGCTGTTTCTAGGTTGCTCTGTCAATGGGCTTCTAAGTCAGTATCATTGCCACAACTAGATCACAAAGCAGTCTTAACGGACTTGAAAGATGTTTAGGATGTAACTCCTTTAAAAGTCCAGGCTCTTTGTACTTAACAGCTGTTTTTGTTTGTTTGTGTATATTGTGGAATATTATCTTAACATTTGTTTATGCTGCAGAGTATTACTTTAACTGTGTAAAGGTGTGTTGCTTTTGTTTACGGTGTCTTTGTTTAATTATGTAAAGATATGCTACATTTGTTTCACCTTTCCTGCCTAAGGCAGCTAATAAAGGTGTCTAAAAAACAGGTGAATGGTACAGAGAAAGGATAGGTGAATGGCAAGCAGAGAGAATAAATAGGAGGAGAAATCTAGACCTGAGAGGAGGAGAAGGAGAATGAGAGAGATGCCCAGTGCCAGAAGCCAGGCAGCTGCCAGACAGACAGAAGAAGAAGCAGTTTAAGTAAGATATACAGAAGGAAAGAAAGGTAAAAACTCTCAAGGCAAAAGGCAGATAAAGAGAAATATGCTAATTTATGTTAAAAGAACTAGCCAGAAATAAGCCTAAGCCAAGCTGAGCATTCGTAACTAAGTCTCCATGTTATGGTTTGGGGGCTGGTTGGTGGCCCTGAAGAAAAAGCCCTGATACATGCTTAGTTTTGGGGTTTTGTTTGGTGTGTGTGCATGCAGGTGTGTTGCAGTACACCTGCCATAGCACATGTTTATGGGTTAGAGAACAACATGGTAAAGTTTCTACCTTCCTCTTTGTTGTCTGCTGTTGCACTGTACGCTCCAGGTTGAGTGACCTTCGGGCTTCCAGCATTCTCCTGTCTCTGCTCCCTATCTTGCCATAGCAGCACTGGGTCACAGAGACATGCTACCCTGCCTGGCTTCCTTAGGTCCTGGGGCTCTGGACTCAGCCCTTACATGTGCATGGAAGTTCTTTACCCACTGAGCCATTTCCCCAGCTGAAGAGTTTTCTTCAGCACACTCTGTGTTGGCCATGACGACACACTGTAATGCCAAGCAATCATGAGAATGAAGCAGGATGACTTCAAGATCAAGGCCAGACTCAATTATGCACAGAGTACCACGATGCTCTCAAAACCAAACAGCAAAAGCCAAATCTATACAACCCAGGTGCTGCAGTCACTTGCAGAATCCGGCTTTCACTTATAGTGCAATTACAGTTTCTCATCTACAGAGGTCAGCCAAGTGCCCTTCCCGTTTCCTGTTCTCCAAAGGTAGCACCTAACTTCCAGGCTGAATATGGATAGCTGGGAAGGCCATAGGATTCTGAGGAGTGTTTCAGAGCTATCGCCATCAAAGGAGTGGTTTCTCAACCTGTGCGTGGCAACCCCTTTGGAGTCACATATTAGATATACTGCATATCGGATATTTATATTATAACTCATAACTAGCAAAATTACAGTTATGAAGTAGCAACGAAATAATTTTATAGTTGGGGGTCAGCACAATATGAGGAACTGTATTAAGGGGTCACAGCATCAGAAAGGTTGAGAACCACTGCCATAAAGGATGGGGGAGATGGCAAAGAGTTGCTTCAGATCTGGGTGTCTGGGTTCAAACTCTGGCTCAGTACTCCAGCGTCCACAGCCTTGATGGTGATTGTTTTAGTCCTTGGGCCCCTCTCTCGGATCCTGTGAGTGCTGAGGAGTTGCTGGATGGACTAAGCACATGACACACCCAGAACTCTATACCAGCACAGTAACTTTGGCCATTTAGCTTAATTTAGTATAGATCTTAAATTCTACAGAAGAGATAAAGAGCCAAAACTCTTTACTACGCTTATCTGACAAATGGGTAATGACTGCAGAGCCTAAAGCCCGCAGGGCTAGGTGCAGGACTGGGTGCTGGGGACAGTTTATTTAGCAATTGCACAACATGTGTCTGAGACAACACACTTCCACAGAGGGTGCACTGCCTCTCTCTGGTCAGATGCCATACATGATAACTCCCAGGCACCCACCCTGTCATTCTTTACCAACCATGGCTCATGCTAATGAGGCTCTTGGGGAAAGCATTAGACCGGGTCCCCCTCCTCCAGAGTCCCTTCCACTGTGGAGAGCTGCAGCACTGTTCATCAATGGGGCAGTTTTGTTTCTCACATTTATTTATGTGTTTGTTTGTTCTTGTGTGAAGAGAGCATGTGTCATGACACATGTGTGCTGGTTGGAGCACACCTCTGGTAGTCTTTTGGGCATGAGTTTCTCCTTTCATCATGTAGGGCCAAGGGATAAACCATAGGTTGTCAGGGTTGGCACCTCACAGACCCTCTCTCTATTAGGGGTTTTCAAATTAGCCTTCCCTCATTGCTGAATCTCAGGTACCCTGTGGTTTCCCTCTTCCTTGCTGTTTGTAAATCCCTGCCAGTGGTGCCTGGTCCTGCCAGCCAGTGGCCTGGTGTACAGGACATGGATCATCACTACGCTCTTCTCATCCTCTGCGAAATGATAGAATCAGGTTTGCCAAAAGTGTCTGGTTCTCAATGGCCCCTTCTCCTCAGCTGGGGCTTCCCTTCCTGCCCCTCAGAGACTCAGTGTCTCACCTGGCCTCTGCTCATCCTCACAGCCATGATTCACATTCTCCTACCCACCACAGTCATCTATCACTGTCTCCCCTTGCATGGCAAAACCTATCCTCAGACATTGTGCTGACTTACTCTGCTGTCATCATCAGCATTTTGTCCATTTCTCCTCTGATGTAGACCACCCAGGCCTGGGACCTAGGGCTTAGCCAATAAATATGAGGAACTCCATATCTGTTAAATTTTAAAACACTGAATTTGGAAAATATCCAAGGGTACACCAGGCAATCCCACCTATGACTCTCTTCCCCCAGCACTGGTCTGCCACAGAGCTAAGGGGAGGGGAAATATTAAGACAGTGATTGGAAAGCTGTTTTTCCTTCTAGAATTAAGGGATGCAGTCTTGCTCTAAACAGTCATTTATGGCAACCAAATTTCCAGCCTCCACCTTACTGTCTTTCAGAGAAGAGTTGGTCCTGTCAGATGCACTGCCTGGCTGAGCTGAGACACAAGCACACTCAAGTCTGTGTTCCCTGAAGTGGGTAGCTCCGGATCCTTTCTTGACTACTATTCACAGGGTATCATCAGAGTCTGTCTAAAATAAGCACAAGCAAGTAATGTGGGTGAACACTAGGGGGCACTCTCACCACAGGGACAAGCTTGGATGGAGCCTGAACCTCACACAGAGAACTTCACAGGAAAACATGAACTACCTGCAAACAGACACACTAGTCAACAGTGGAGAGGTGTGTGGCCCTGTGATGTAAGGAAGTGCTTCTCGGAGCTGCTCCAGGGGTACCCGCTCCTGTTTGCAGAGAGAACTGGACGGTGTGAGGACACCACACACTTGCCTGTTCTATCAGCTCACAGAAGTCCACAGAAGACTTCTCTCATGACTCTCCTTTTCCAACCCAGCCTCTATGCTTTCCTGAACTCTCATAAGGAAGTGGCTTCCATGTCACCCAACAAGAACAGAAAGCAGACTTTAAAGAACATTGCCATAGAACAAGGAACTCAAGGAATTAACCCTTTGCAACCCTCAGCACAGGTCAGTGCTCAGCACCGGTGGAGCCACAGATGGAAGATGATCAGCCTCACAAAGGCCTGGGCACAGCTGAGCCACAGCAGATCCCCCTCTCGCCCCCCCCATGCACACACACACACACACATACACACGCACACGTGGGCACACACACACATGCACGCACGCACACACATGGGTACACACACGCGCACACACATGGGCACACACATGCACACACGCACCCCCCTCAACCAGGCCCCAGCCCACCTTCAAGGTCTTCACGGCCACCGTCAGGCTGTACTTCTTCCACACGCCTTCGTACACCTCCCCATACTGGCCTCCGCCCAACTTGTGCTTCATGGTGATGTCTGTGCGCTCCATTTCCCACTTGTCATAGTTGGGGGACACGCCGTAGATGGTTGGCTTGTTGCGCTTAGGAGCTGGGTAGTGGAGCGTGGTGATGAGCCCATCAGCCACCGTGGAATGATGGTGAACTAACTCGGCCAGAGTGTTGAAGCGGCTCTCCGAGGAGACATAGAGCTAAGGAAGATAGGGAACAGCCCTCATTCACAGAGCAACAACCCAGGGGAAAGGTTCTGTACATGGTTTAGGGTTGCCCTCTGAAGCTTCTTCTAGCAGGGTGGAACTTACTGAGAGACACTCAAAAGCCTGAGGACATGTGCACCTGGCCTCTACTGACACCCCACCCAGCATTCCTCCCTTTCTTTAACCTCCAATGTATTCTTTGTTGTTGGTTTTGTTTTGTTTTTCCAGACAGACAGGATCTCTGTGTAGCCCTGGAACTTGCTCTGCAGACCAGGGTGGCCTCGAACCAATATATTACTTTTAATTAAATCTTTGTCATTTTTGTTTTATGGTTTTATGTGTATAGATAGTTGTGTGTGTGTGTGTGTGTGTGTGTGTGTGTGTGTGTGTGTGTGTGTGTGTGTGTGTACCATGTGCATGACTGGTGCTCTTGGAGGCCAGAATAAGGTGTCTGACTCCCTGAACCGGAGTTACCTAGAGTGGTTGTGAGCCACTGTGTGGGTGCTGGGAACGGAATTGAGAGCCTTTGGAAGAGCAGCAGCTGGTGCTCTTAATAACTCCGAAGAGTCATTTCTCTAGTCTCTACCCTCCGATTTAAACTATTGCAAAATAGGTACTTAATAAATACTTGTTGATGAATGAGCAACAGAACTCAAGAACTTGCTGCCCTGGAAAGAAAAAAACTGAATTGATACTGAAGAGAGGGTAACTGATAATGAAACATGTGTCTCAAGCTGCCTACTTGCTTGGGACTTGGTGGAAGGCACCCAACACCAAGATTTGTACCGCTGGCAGCTTGCCTGGTGAGGCTGTTTCTGTCAGCACCTTGTAGGCCAAAAGACAGCACAGACGGGTACTGCTTTCGGGATTTCTGAGAGCCACAGCACAGAGGGCCTCCCAGGGATGGCTCTGCAGAGTTCTCATGCAGTCACTGCTGCAGTGCTGTGGGAAGGGAAGGCTCCATGCTCAGTCTACATGCAACAGCTGGGCTCCAGGCACATCACTGAGCACCTCGACTTGCCTGCCCCAGTAGCAAACTCACGTTGGGGAAGAGGGGTTGGACTGACACAGTGCTGATACTTGGTAAGAAATGCACAGAAGGAAAGGATCAGGCTGTAACTACAGCTTCGACATATAAAGAGTGGAGGTCGGGAGCCCAAGACACATGGGGAGCAGGCATAAGGGCTTTGGTTGCTCGTTACAGTGAGCACCACTGCCACCATAAGATACACATTCCCTGGAGCAGTGTGGTGATGGGAAGCTTTAGTAGGTGTGGTCTCAGAGGAGATGCACAAAGTCTTTGTGGGAACCCAGAGCTCGCCTGCAACAGAGTCCTCAGAGGGTGCTTATGAAGGAACCAGGCTGGCCCCTCCTCCCTCTCAGATGAGAGGTCTGTTCCTCCATACACTCAGTGAGTGGACTGAATACTTCACCAATTCACTGCTACTGGGCTAGGGGCCATTACCAGTCTGTACCATGCTGCTTCAGCATACAGCTTTCCACACCAAGAGCTAAATAAAACTGTCTCTGTTAATTAGCTGCTTCAGGTTATTTCACTGCGGCAATAAAATGCAGGCACAATTATTTTCTGAGGCTTATAGTATTAATATTAGATCACTAAAACACTTTAAAGGGAGATAATCACAAGGGGTTAGCTAGGGTCCAGTAGCAGATCTCCTTTCTCTGCTTGTTGAGGATATAAACACATTATAGCCCTCTCCTCAGTGCTGGTCACAGACACAACGCACTCTGTAAGATTTGGAGAGTCCGCTTCCAGTCTCTACCACTACTCAGAAAGCCATGAAAACTAAGTTCATTTTCCAACCTAAAATTTACACACCAACACTCATTAAGTATTAATACTACAGCCAGCTGCCCTCAAGTGCAGTGTGGTTCCGCTCCCAGCCACATTTCCAGCTGCCTTTTGACCGCTCTAGTTTTTAGAACCCTTAGTGATGATCAGGATGAGCATTGGGAACCCATGGTATGTACAGAGAAGCAGGTGGAGCTAGTGTTGAGTGCCTGCTTCTGTGCTGCTCCACAAACATACAGCATCCAGCCAGGACTCTGCCTCTTCCTGAGTGTTCATGGAGAAACTCCCAAGTGTCATGCCACAGGACAGTGCCACCTGTGCTTTAGAACTGAGCCAGGCTCTTCAGAAGTTCCCACACTCCTCCAACAATGCCCACACCACTGTTCACTCCCAGGGGAAGCAAAGCACAGATACTCCAGAGGCCCTGGAGCCAACACCTCCTGCTTGGGTCCCACTTCTGTCAACCTGAGGCTGTCACTTCTGACCATGAAAATAATGTATGCGGGAAACATCAAGAAGAGGACAGGGCTTCAGGGCTCTTGGGAACTGTGGGAATGCACAGCGGTGGCTTGCAGAAGTCAGAACGAAAGGCAACAGAGGCAGAATCACCTAGAGGGTGCCCTAGTCAAAACTGCTTCAGAAAGCACAGACCACAAAGAGAGGTAAACAAGAGTCAGGAGGGAAACTACAAGAGTCTTTTGCATCCCGTTGTTGACTGATTGGCTGATCTGGAAATAAAATATCATTTTTATCAGTCCCAGTCTACCCCTCCCGGCATTGTTTTTTTTTCCCCAGACAGGGCTTCTCTGTATTGTTTTAGAGGCTATCCTGGAATTCGCTCTGTAGACCAGGCTGGCCTCAAACTCAGAGATCTGCCTGCCTCTGCCTCCTGAGTGCTGGGATTAAAGGCGTGCACCACCAACTCCAGGCTCCCTCCTGGCATTCTTAAATGTCCCCTTTAGTAATCAAAGAGGATTGCATCAAAGCCCTGCTTTGTGGGAAGCATTCTTCAGTATGAAGCCCACTGTCCCACCAGAGCTATGGTACCTCCCCATTCTGACGCCTGTCTCTCACTCTAGGGACATGATTCCACCCAATAATGCTTCCTTGAATGTGATCCTCTGCAGATAGAAGGCTCATCAAGGGCTAAGAAGTATCCAAAGTCTCTGGGTACCTGGACAGCTGATGGGAAAACCTCTTCCAGGGAGAAGCAAAGGGCAGGCTGTCAGATGAGCTACAGATCATGAGTGGCCTGTATACCCTGAGGCATACACACCAGCTTTAAACAGAGGGGACTCTAAACTCTTCCCCACTTCAGACCACACCTAGCCATACTGTTCTGAGACTGCTGATTAAACAGCTCTGGCGATAAGACAGCATGGGCTTGCTCAGTGTGGACCTCCTGAAGCAGCCTGGCTTGCTCCACAAAAGGAAACAAAGGCGAGCAAACTGTCATCTCCAGAAACCCACCTCCCAGGGAAAAGGTACTCTGCAGTCTGAAGGCTCTTCAAAGGCCCACCACCTTGGAGTCTGCTCCAGATTTAAAGACCTGGCTCTACCCACTACACAGCCGAGTCAGCCTGACTCTAACTGCAAGTTGTATGGTTAACCTGCCTAAATGAGGAAACACCAAGGGCACTCACTGATGAAGCAAACCTTTGGGTGCTTCTGTGAGGGAGTTTCCAAAGAGGACTAGGAACGGAAGACCATTCCCAATGAATTCAGGCAGCACATCCTATGGGCTGTGTCTGGGACTGAATAAAAGGGGATGGAGAAGCCAGATGGTAGTGGCAACACACCCTTAATCCCAGCACTTGGGAGACAAGAGGAAGGTAGATCTCTGAGTTTGGGGCCAGTCTGATCTACAGAACTGAAGGACTGTCAGAGTTACACAAAGAACCCTGTTTTTAAAAAAGGGTGTGGTGGTGGTGGAGAAAGCCAAATGCATTCATTCCCCGTTTCCTGCTCCTGGATCTCCTGGGGTGTGAGCAAGTAGCAGCACCCACCTGCCTCACCTGCCCCACCAAGACCAGCCAAATGAAAAAACCCTTTCCTCCCATAAGTTTCTTTTGGTCAGTGTTGAGAAAAAGAACTAAAACATACCAACAACAGATTAATTCTGTACACAAACCACAATGCTGTACTACAGAGGCCTCCAGAGACAGGCAAGAGGATGCAGACACTCAAAAAGAAGGAAATCAGAGAGGCACATAGCCTTGTGGTGCATGGCCTTAGTCCCTGTGGTCTCGAGGCAGGGATGGGGCAGCCTGGTCCACACAGCAAGTTCCAGGAGGGGTGTATACATGCTCACATAATACAAATGAAAGTGTGAGCCAGCCAGGAAAAGGCTAAAAAGATGACAAGGGTGATAGCCCATCAGACACTGATTCTAGTCCAGCTAACTATTCAAAAGGTCATGAAAGAGCCCTCAAAGAGAGTAGAGGATCCATAGGTCTCTACACAACGGATTTTCTAAGCAGGAGAAAGACAAATTTGATAAATGGAGTAAGAATGACATGTGTGCTGAATCTGGTAAGGTCACCTTCTTCAATAATCAGAGTAACAGAGATGGCATAAAGTTTGACAGTAGCTGTAACCCTGGCGAAGGGAAACATGCAGTACTTTCACCAGCAACCTGTGAAAGCAGATTGGAAGAAATGCTGTAGAGGGTGGCTTGACAACACGGACACTAGCTTTAAAGAGTGTATCACCTTTGATTAACTCCAGTCCTTATCTTGCCCATGCTTATACCCTAGTGCATAGAAACAATTGTAGCAGATCACAGTCAGAAAATTTTTTGTGGTGGGCAGTGGTGGTCCAAGCCTTTAATCCTAGCACCTGGGAGGCAAAGGCTGGTAGATCTCTGTGAGTTTAAGGCTAGCCTGTTCTACAGAGCTAGTTCTAAGACAGCCAAGGCTACATAAATAAATTCTGTCTCAAAAAACAAAATTGTTTTGTTTTGCCTTTTGCTGTAGTTTTACACTGTAGCTCACTATGCCACAATGTCTGGCTTCAAATTCAGCAATCTTCCTGCCTCTCCTTCCCAAGTGTTGGGATTATAGGTGTGAGCCACCACAGGACACTGACAGAGGTGTCTACATGTGCCACTGCAAAACTCCAAAACACCTTGTCACATGGGGAAAAGCAAGGAGCATCAGTGTGCAGGCACCACGTGTGTCTCCGGCTTCATGAGGACAGTAAAGGGACTGACAGTAGTGGGCATGACTGAGTTGGGAGACAGTTTTTATTGCAATTAGTTTGTCATTTGAAACTATGCACATACAATACATACAAATATGAAACAAGGGCTGGAGAGATGCCTCAGAGGTTAAGAGCACTGACTGCTCTTCCAGAGGTCCTGAGTTCAATTCCCAGCAACCACATGGTGGCTCACAACCATCTGTAATGATGCCCTCTTCTGGCCTGCAGGCATACGTGCCTTTAATCCCAGTACTGTGAGGTAGAGGCAGGTAGATCTCTAGGAGTTCAAGGCCATCCTGGTCTACAGTGAATCCCAGGATGGCCAAGGCTACATGGAGAAGCCCTAACTATTGTTTTGGAGGCTATCCTGGAACTCGCTCTGTAGACCAGACTGGCCTCGAACTCACAGAGATCTGCCTGCCTCCGCCTCCCGAGTGCTGGGATTAAAGGCATGCGCCACCAATGCCCGGCGAGCCCCGTCTCTATAAAAACAAAACAAAACAAAACAAAACAAAACAAAACAAAAAAACAGCTGGGCGGTGGTGGCACATGCCTTGTGGTGGCGCACGCCTTTAATCCCAGCACTCGGGAGGAAGAGACAGGTGGATCTCTGTGAGTTCGAGGCCAGTCTGGTCTACAAAAGCTAGTTCCAGGACAGCTTCCAAAATCACAGAGAAACCCTGTCTCAAAACAAACAAACAAACAAAAAACCAAAAAACAAAACAACAACAACAAAAAAAGAAACAAACAAAAAAAGACATGCATTAACTGCAGTTCTGTAGATAGAACCTGTTGATATTCTGGCATTGTGCTGACCCTGCCCCATGACAACTGGCAAGGTACGCAACCAGCCTTCAGGCAGATACTTAAACAGCTCTAAGGGCCCTGTGTTGTGGTGGCTACCTAGCGCTTTAAGTGGCTGCATGAGGACTCTGTACCCAGAAACTGGGCAAGCTGGGCCAGCGGCAGCTCCATGACTCCAGTTTCAACTGCCTCAACTACTGAACCTCATTCTAAACCACTCCCTTCCCAATAAACTCCACATGGGTTTGCTGAGTTGTGTGGTTCATGTTGTGCCCGAAGTTGCAGCAAACAACAACAGAACCCAGCTCATATACATGCTAGGCTTTATACCATGGAGTCAGGCTCCCTCAAAAATAGTTTAGATGCTGTGGTAGTTTGAGTAAGAATGGTCCCCCATAGGCTCACTAACTTGAATGGTTAGTCACCACTATTTGAAAGGATTAGGATAAGAGGTGTGGCTCTTTTGAAGGAAGGTGTCACTAGGGGTGGGCTTCCAGGTTTCCAAAGACCATGCAAGGCCCAGCCTCTCTATCTCAGCCTACAGATCAGGATATAGCCCTCAGCTGTTTCTCCAGCACCATGCCTGCCTGCCACCATGATGACAGTGGACTAAGCTTCTTAAACTGTAAGCAAGCCCCCAGTTCTAGGTTTCCTTTGTAAGAGTTGCCTTAGTCATGGTGTCTCTTCACAGCACAGAATGCCATCTGTCCTATGCAATCTGCCTATCAATGCTGTCCTCTAACAGTACTTGGCACTGTGAAGAGGGGGGACCCCAGCCTGGTGCTACCAATTACTCCCTATGTGAAAATCTTGGACTAGAAGTCTTGTCCCTTTAAGCCCCCCCTCTTATTGATGCAAAAATGCAGATGGCATCAGTACCCTCCAGGGGTGGAGGTGAGGTAAAAGAGAGGAACTTACAAGACTAGCACTGATTAAGCCACAGTAACTGGGTTTTTCCCTTCTCTCTGTGGACATTTAAGGAGCAATGTTTAGGCAAAGATCACAAATCACTGTGTTTGGAGATGAATCGGTTTACTTTGATGTGACCTCTGTTAAAAATCTGGGCGTATTTATGTGTCTACACCCACACTTTACCACAGGAAGGACACTGGCTATAAGGTCATGGAGGTACCGTTACTGGGACCTGCAGCTTTACACATAATGAGTGACTGCTGATTAAATTTCTCTCACTAAAGATCAATCATCATCGATATAAGAATTTACAAAAAGGGCCGTTGGCCTGTGGTGATGCACGCCTTTAATCCCAGCGCTTAGAAGGCAGAGGCAGGCAGATCTTTGTGAGTTTGAGACCAGTATGGTCTACAGAGTAACTTCCAGGAAGGCCAGGGCTATAAATTACAGAGACTATATAAAAAAAACCCAAAGAGCAAACAAAAAGAATTTATGAAAAGAGTCTTAATATAAGAACTTACATCTGAGACCCAACAGTATCCCTGTGGTTTTTCAGAGAATCCTACACACCAAGACCCAGGACCTGTGATACTGGCTGACAACCAATGATCTTTCGTGAAGCTCATGAAAACTCCTTCTGTTTATTTGGAAGATTCCTGAGACACTGTCTGGTTTGGTTGTTTGAAACAAGGTCTTTATGTAGCCCAGGCTGGCCTTGAACTTACTATGTAGCCAAGGATAGCTTTGAAGTATTGATTCTTCTATCTAGGCCTTCTGAGTGCTGAATTACAGTATGAGCCACCATACCCTGCTTGAGACATTCTGATTGAGCCTACCAATATAATTCAATGGCCTGGGCTACCATCCATGTTCCCCTGTGTGCCCCCCACAGCCCATCAGCTCACTGCTGGTCCCAGTCAGGGTGGTTGCTCACCTTGCCATCAGAGGCGGTGTTGATCCTGTAGTGGTATACCCTCCCTTCATATCTCAGGGAGATGGACCTCTGGCCAGGACTGCTCTCACTCTCCCGAACCAAGAAGCTGCCGTTGATCCCACTGCTCAGCAGATACTCAGCAGCATTTCGGGACACAGGCCCATGATACCAGGAATGTTTCTCCAGGCTGTTGACAGGGGTGATGTAGTTGCTTGGTACCCATCCTTGGCCATTTTTCGTTTGGGCTTCACACCATTCCCCATTGTGATTATAACCTAAGACCCGGAGCTTTTCACCTTAGAGAAAAGAACCAAATAGATGAATCAGTTTTGATGACTGACTTCCTTCCTCCTAACCTTTCTCTAGAATATCTCCTCTTCCTGTTAGTCATGAGTGCACAGAGGACAACTCTGCCACCACATCTAAGGTTATACAAGTTTACTCAAAACTTTTTAAGGAATAATGCTTTTACTTGGTGATAAAAACAGTAACAAAACCCCATGCTTCCAGCCTGAGATCCAGGTGTCCTCTTCTATAGGAACACGGGGAATCATGTGCACAGGACTGCTGCCCCTGAGCCTCCTAAGGGCGGGCACTGTGCTCTGTAGGCATCTCTGCCCTCTCGTGGAGCGAAGGGAAGGACAGCCAAACCACACACCCCCACCCTTGCTTGCCGTTTCCCTGTTACCTTTAGTGATGCTGAGCGTGTTATCTCCACTGGCCACAAAATCATATAGTGCCACAAAAAGGTTGGGGTCATTTTCACTGGGCCCAGCAAGAAGGTTTTCCTTGGAGTTCCATCGAGCTGCTTCACTGAGACCCTGGGGCTCAAAGTCAGATGCCACTGGCCTCTGCAGGGCTTCTGCAAGACAAGAAAAAGGCAAATGAAACTGGAAGAGAACTTGGTAGACACGAGCTGAATTTTTCACTGCTTAACATTTATATATTTTTTCTTTCTTTCTTTCTTTTTTTTTTTTTTTTTTTTTTTTTGGAAACAGGGTTTCTCTGTGTAACAGCCCAAGCTGTCCTGGAACTCATTTTGTAGACCAGGTTGGCCTAGAACTCACAGAGATCTGCCTGCCGCTGACTTCTGAGTGCTGGGATTAAAAGCATGAGCCACCACCACCCGGCTACATCTATATATTCTATGTATTAAATTTTCAGTTGTCTTTATCAAGTATTATGAAAGGCATGACGTATTCTCATTCCAATTGATGATTCCCTGTGGGGAATTAAGTAAGAATGCCCACACATGCTCACATATTTGAATGCTTGGTCTGGTCCCCATTAATGGAACTATTTGGGGAGGGTTAGGAGGTGTGGCTTCATTTGAGGTCAGCTCTGCCTCCTACTTACAGATCAGCTACCACTCCAGCCTGTGCCTGCTGCCACACTTCCTATCATGATGGCATGGACTATGACCTCCACAACCATAAGCCCCAAATCAAACATTTTTAATGAGTTGCCTTGTTCCCGGTGTTCTGTCACAGCAATAGAAAAGAAACGAAGGCATTCCTGTTCCCAAATAGTGTTAAGTCTTTACATGTATTCATTCAGGCAGGCGAGATGGCTCAGCAGGTAGAAGCAAAGGCTGCCAAATCTGACAAACTAAGTTGGGTCCTTAGGACCCATGTGGTTGGTTGGAGAGGATTGACTCCTGTAAGCTGTTCTCTGGCCTCTATACACACACCATGGCATATGCACACACACCAAATAAATGTAATAAAGTAAATTCATTATTTCAATATGCATTTTCTCAGAAACAGACATAACCCACCTCTAGAGTAGCCACTGCCTACAACATGAGTGAGCATTCTTAAAAGTGATTTTTCTTTTTTCACGTGACCTTACACTCCTGATTCATCCTCCCAAGCGCTGGAGTGACAGGCCTGTGCCCCCCACAGCTAGCTTTAACACTTACATATATCAATGCTGATATAAATAACCAAGCCTTTCATCCTATTCCTCTCGATGCTGGCCGGAGAGCTCTCCACCCTCTACTACAAACTGCCCTTCTGCTTCTGCCCCGAAGCAGCTGTTCCCCACAGGAGACTGGCTTCTCGCTCTTCTTTCTACTCAGATGTAGCCGTCGTCACACATTTCTTAACCTGTGAGGGCCCTAACAAGCAGTCTCTTGTGTTCTGAAATCAGAAAGATGCTCTTCTGTGTCTGTCACATCTGAGGCTGGAGCTCTGGAGCTCACCAACACTGCCGGCACTGGGACAGGCACTACTCGTAGACAGTTTCTTGTCCTTTTCTCTTCTTTACCCTTGAACTGTACTCCAACTGATAATAAGTTGCAGAAGGGCTTTTCCTGAGAAGACCAATTCCATCTGGAAGGCATGGTAATGCAGGGCATGGCAGCGTAGGACAGTAACTGAGCCTAAAATTTCATTGTTTTGTCTGGGCTGGCTGGCTAGGACCTAGGAGCTCCTAGGACTCATTCACATCCACCCCAACACTGGGGTTCTGGGCACATGCAACCATGCCTGGCCTTCCAATAGGTGATGAGGATTTGAACTCAGGTCCTCTTGCTTTCACAGCAAGTACTCCTGACTCACTGAGCCATCTCTCCAGACCCAGAAACATATTTTATCAACACTTGACCCCAAGCAAGGACTGACCTTGGGAGTTGAGTGCTATGACTAGAGCCTAGAATTATCTCCTGTAAGTCCAACCTGGAGACCAGGGCTGAGGTCCACTGCAGAATCTTTCTAATGCACATGGTCCATTCTGGCCATTGCAAGTTTTCTTCCCCCTAATTCCGTAGCAATTTTTTAGTTCTGGCCTTTATGAGTCTTCCTGAAATGCTCATTCTAACTTCATAAAATCAACTACTTTCCATGCTATTGTTTTGTTAGTTCTACATTCAAATATGGTATGAAGCACCAGGATAGCTTTCAGTGGGAAGCAGTATGGGCAGGAATCAGCAGCACCTGTGCCCAGGAGAGCACTGTTACTACAGAGGAGAGCACTATTGACTCAGCAGGTCAGGTATGCGATGGTAGAACAGTCTCTGTGGTCTTATGGAAGTAAACTTTCTGGCAGAGTTTTTACTTTAAAGAAAGATATGAATTTAATTTACTTATTTTTTAATATTTTATTTATTTATTGTGTATACAGCCTTCTGCCTGCATGCCACCAGCAGAGGGCACCAGATCTCATTCAAGGTGTGAGCCACCATGTGGTTGCTGGGAATTGAACTCAGGATCTCTGGAAGAACAGTCAGTGCTCTTAACCGCTGAGCCATCTCTCCAGCCCCTCATTTACTTATTTTTTAAAAAATATTTATTTGTGTATTTATTTTTATGTGCATTGATGTTTTGCGTGCACATTTGTCTGTGTGGGGGTGTCATATCCCTGGAATTGGAGTTACAGACAGTTCCTTACAGTAACAAGCTGCCACTACCATGAACCTGGGTCCTCTGGAAGACCAGTCAGTGTTTTTAACCAATGAGCCATCTCTCAGCCCCAACATTTATTTTTAAATATGTATATGCATGTGTATTTGTGTGCAGATGTATTTATAACAGTGCAGAAGCCTGTGGAAGCCATAAGGGGACCAGAAGTAGGTGTTGGATCCCCTGGAGCTATAGTTACAGGTGGTTGTGAGCCACCTGATGTGGGTGCTTGGAACAGAACTGGAGTCCTCTGCAAGCACAATACATGCTCTGAACTGTGGAGGCCTCTGTTCAGCCTCTGGTAGAAGATTCTCAGCATTAGAGGATTCTTACATAACAGCAGCAGCTAAAAAAGATAAATCCTCACTATGGGAAAATATGAACAAAACCCATAAACAAACAATTCATGGAAAACTAAACTCATCACTAGACATGGAATCAAAGACTGCCAACTCTTCAAGTTGACAGGCCCTTCTGGATAGCAGCAGGATTGTGAGTGAGACATCATTACGACTGGCGTTCTTCTGCACTGCTTGCAGCAGGGTGTGCACTGTGAAGCTAAGTGTAATACAAACCACCCTTAGAGACTCACAGTCATTCAACATCTTTGGCTATTTATCCCAAGACATACAAACAATGACTTGTGTACACCAACTTTAAAAGCACAAAAAAGGAAGGTCCAAAATACCCACTGATCAAATTAAGTCAGGCTATGCTCCATCCATAAAACAGGACACTTTAAAGGTCACTTGGGATGCTTTCATGTTTTGTGGGTTTTTTGGGTCCCCCCTCCCGATTTTTTCAAGACAAGGTTTCTCTATGTACCCCTGGCTGTTCTGTAACTCACTCTATAGACCAGGCTACCCTGGAACTCAGAGATCCACCTGCCTCTGCCTCCCGAGTGCTGGGACTAAAGGTGTGCACCACTAGCCACACCCTTCCCCCCTTCCTGGGATGTTTTAGACAGGGCTCAGTGGCAGAACACTAGTCTAGAATGTGCAGACCCTGGGTTTGATCCTCAATACCACAAACAAACAAAATACTTTTGCAACAAAACAAAAACAAACAACAAACCTCTCTAATGGCTCACATTCATTAAAATTTTATATTCTATCCTGTCCCAACTTCATAAAAATTTAAACAAGAACCAGAAGAAATGACACCAAAATGTGAACAGCAGCTAACATAAGGGTGTAGGAGGATTACAAATCTTTTAGCTGTCTTTTACTCTCTATATATTATGGTTCATTTGTTAAAATGACCAGGTTATTGTTATAATCAGCTCCCAATCCCAACACTGGAATAACATGTAAATAGAAACCAGGGATGCTTATATAACAGACAATTTAAAACGAGCAGCTCTGGGGAGGGGCCCCTCCCACTGTCCTGAAAGCATTTATGTGTTTGCTTGCATGCCCCAACCAAGGGCCAGCAGCACAAGGCTTTGGAAGGCTGGGCCCATACAGGAAATGAATGCTGGGTCATGCATACAGAAGTGCTTTTCTTCTCAAATGTCATTTGACCTCTTTTTATCAAACATTCTGTTGCATCTGGATTTGATCAAAGTTACATAACCAGGCTAAGTGGCCTGGAAAAACACCTGGAGTAAGCAGGACAGAGATTCTGTCCAGAGGTGAGGAGTAAAGTGAGTCTGAACCCAAAGCTGGGACAGAAACTGACAATGTAGTAGGGGGTGAAGGCTTTTTAAGAAAACTGTTCTGCAGCTGCCCCTGATCCAACAGGATGGCCTCCAAGCCCTCTCTCCACCCCTCGCCCCCCTAGTCCTGGTCCTCAAGTTAACAGCCAAAGCCCAAAGGGAAGTATTGCTCATGCATGCCTCTGGATGGAGACAACGAGTGCAGCCTCAGTTCAACAACAAAACCTTCCAGCCAATTCCCAGTCCAGGCTGATGTCAAAACTGACTCACAGTGCACTGATGCCAAGTTACTTTCTTCATTTCATAGTCAACTATGCTCGTCAACCATAAAAATGATCACAGCTCACAAGGCCAAAGTTGCAGAACATACTCAAATCTGTGTTGCTCAAGACATTAACTTTCTGCAGCCCCACTGTCAGGAAGCCACCCCATCACCAGCACCAAGCCCAAAAGCTTTATTCAGAAGAATGCCTCAAAGAGCTCCTCTCCTGTTGCCTCAGCAAGTCTCTGGCAGTAGTTAATCCTTGGACAATAAACTGCAGTGTGTGCTATGATCCATTTTCTTCCCCACCACAAGCACTTTCTGCTGTGTCCCTCTGAATCACATTTTATATATATTTGATTTGGATCTTTAAATGTGCCTGTGTCCCCTTTAAGGCCATTTTGTTCTCTTACTGTTAGTAATTATGTTACCGCCCATCAGTGACACTCAACAAGAGTTGCTAATCAGCCAGTTGCAGCAGCAAGAATTGGTGCCATCTGAAAACTGCCTCCAAGCCACTAAAAAGCCTTGGCTCAGCTAGG